TGTCATCACCGCCGCCGCATGGTGGCTCTAGTATTGGGACAGGCCCTCCTAGGACTGCCCGTTTGTAACTGGCCCAGGGACGCCCGGGCCTCGTCGGGCTGGGCTGCGCTCGCCCGTCGGCTCCACGTGAGTCTGAGGGACGGTTCGCAGACCACAGTGCTTTTGCACACGGGGATTTCAGTTATCAGCCATTTATCCACTCTGAAATGTGTATTACGTGCTTGGTGCTGGGCTCCTCAGGGGACTCAGACGTGCTCCTGCCCTGAAGGAGCTCACCGAGTCTGCCGTGCCCGAGACAGCAGCTTCGACTGCAGCGTGTGACCTCGGCCCTGTTGTCCAGCTTCCTGGTGGCTCTGCCGGGCTCACGAGGGTCCCTCCTGGTCTCTGTTTGGGCCCATCCCGCTGGCAGCCAGGGGCTTTTCCCCGTTCACAGCTCTCTTACCCCAAGAGCAGAGCTGGACACTACATAGACATTTGGGCTCTTGCACTCTCCAGGTTCCTGGTAGGTTATCCAGCTTCGCTGAAGGGTGTTTATTAAGTTCCTGCCCTGCATTTGCAAAAGCATCCTCTTTGCCTTGGGGGCCAGTATAACAAGCAGAGGAATTCTGTAAGCCTCGTGTACAGTGGAGTGTGGCTTAGCAACCTCGAAGGGTTGAAGGATTAAAACCCACCAGCAGAACAGCCTCGCTGTTTCTTTAATGTCACTAGTCTGACGCCCATGCTCCAGAACTCCAGCGGGATTATGCCCTGGGCCCCAAGTTAGCCAGCGAGATCTCAGCTGCTGCTTGAGGTCTGCCGACAGCCGACAGCCGGCCTCCCCGCATTCTCCCCGGCAGAGTCCCCCGGGGGCTCCTAACTCCCCGCGCTTCCCATTTCTGCAGCTTCTATGGGAGTTCGATGGATGATTGGTGTGACAGAAATCGACAAGGGCTCTGCCTACGGCAACATCGACAGCAAGCAGAAACGGAGCGACTGACCCCAGACACATGAGCGCCCGGAGGGGCCCTTGGGGACTGGTGGACGCTGCCAGCCATCCTTAGTGGGACCCGGGGACGAAGCGGGGTGAGCCCCTGCTGGGAAGGCAGTTTGGTCTCCATGCCAGATGGGGAGGAAGATGTTCTTAAATCTTTTATCCCCCCATAATGCTTAAGTGGGTTTTGATTTTCTTTTTGAGTGTGAGTGTGTGTGTGTGCGTGTAAGGGAAAGGATACATATAAGTCAGAATGATGTGCGGTTGAGTGTGAGCCTTATTTTGTCATCATTCAGAGGGGATCTGAGGCACAGGGGGAGGGCAGGGATGGGGAACAGAGGGTTCCCCTTCATTCTTTGGTGCTGAGTTTTCTGTACTGGATTGCGAAAGAGTGAAAGGCGCTTTAGGTAAGATGACTAAATTATGCCTCCAAAAAAACAAACTATTTGGCTCCCTGTGCTATGTTTCCACAGACTGCTCCATCCTCCCGTTCCGCCCTCTGCCGTTGTTCTGGGGTTCTGGAAGGCAGTGACCCAGCAGCGCTGCCTGGAGGGAGCGGGGTGGGCTCAGGACACGGGGGGCGGGGTGCTGGATGGGGCCCCCCGGCCACAGACACAGGTGCAGGAACCTGGGGGGGGGGCGGTTAAGGGATACGGCAGGTGCTGGGGGACGAGCTGAGCACGTCTGTCGGACGTAGTGAGAGGCCCTGTAAGGCAGCTTTGGTTTTCCCAATCTGCTGGCAATGGAGCCTCCCTGGCCCACGTCTTGAAGGGGTGGGCAATTCCCTGAAGAACCTGAACGGAAAAATAAAGGGCAGGCATCTTGCAGCCATTTGAGAAATGACTTTAAGTGCACTGCTCATCTCAGGAGCAGGTAGAACCTGGGTCCCCCAAACCAATATAGGCTCGTGCAGGAGCCAAGGTACTCCTCTGATCAGGGTCAGACTGGAGTAAACACCGGCGTATGAGGACCCCCTGGGCATCCACTCTTCTTCCGGGAGCCCAGACTCTCACACCACGAAAGAGGGCTGCTCCTTGACACGCAAGGCCTTCTTTGGAGTAAGGACCACATGCTGGACCTCTGCAAACTGTGCCAGTCCAAAGGGGCCACATGCACAACATGAAAGACAAGCAGTAATATCTCTGGCGGAAAACACTTAGCTACGGGACACGCTGTCCTCTCAGGCCAAGGCACTGATGGCGTTCACACTGGTGGGGATTTAGGGGCACACGAGGTAAGCAGAAGGCTTTCTCCCTGTGCACAGCTACATGCTGCTGGGACAGAGTTCTTCGTCGCTATGCTCACAGAAGAAGGGACAAACTTCCATCCAAAAGTTGGGCATAAACTATTCAGAACCACGTTTTTAGAGGGTTTGCTCATTTACTCACCAAGGGTTTCCCAAGCACAATGGAACTAGCAAGCCAGGGAGTTCGGAGAACACCCGAGAGCAGCTCTCTCTGCTGGAGGGATAATAACGTATCATTGACAAGAACTGCAGGAGCGAACAGAGAAACAGATTCTGGCTTAGCTGTGGGAAGGGAGTTTCGGTGAGGCCAGAGCCTGAGCTGACATTTGCAAGCATCCCTGAGAGCAGGGGTGATGAGCCCACGCATCTGCGCACCCTGCGTCAGGCCACAGGTGGGTTTCAAACACAGTCTCCCCCAGAGCAAAAGGACGGAGATTCGTGGGCAGGAGCACGGGGATGACCACTGCAGGCCCTGGGCGCAGCTCAGGCGTCTGTACCCACATTCCCGTATGTCCGCCTGCACCTGGATGTGGGGACTGCTCTGCGCCAGGGACTCCTCGCTCCACAGCAGAGCCGAGCAAGGCAGTCAGGGGGGTCGGTCCTGGCCGCAGCTGCGTGGCCCCCCCCCACCCCCCCACCGCCCCGGCACTCTGCAGCTCACTCGTGGTCTAAGCCCTTGGGTGAGCCATCTTACCTCGAGTCCCAGTTTCCCCATTTGTAAAACGAGGGCGATCATACCTGCCTCCTGGGTTGTTTCAAGGGTAAAATGAGGCCGTGTATGTGAAGACGCTTTACGAATCCTGAAGCACTAAACACAGAAGGGATGAGAGAGTAGAAAGCTGCCTCCCTGCTGCGACTTCGCAAAATGCTCAGGAACAACCCTGAGGTGTCCAAAAATATGTCACTCCCCCCATGAATATAGTGATCGAGCGCTAATAACATATACCCAGCCTTGGCCCTAGAACCTAACACGCGAGCAAAGGCAGGCTGCTCACCAGCGCTGTGGGTCCAGGTCGGAGGAAGGCAGGCAAAATACTCCCCTGGGAAAAGAACTCATCAGCGCTCCTCACAACTGCCTAGGTCGCAAGAGAATGTGGTAGTCTGGGGACACATCCTGCCATCTTTTCAGCTGTCTGGCCCTCCCACGAAGAAGCAATTTGTTAGGAGGTGTGGGCAGCTGGTCTCCCTTCTGCCCCTGTTCCCGTAATGGCAGAGATGAGCACAGTGCCCTGGAGAGACCCGCGCTGGACCCCCTAACCCTCCCAGGATATAGATTTCTTACAGAATTAAAGCCCCATGGAGGTTAAGCCACCTGTAGTGAGTGTTAGTCCCTGGAGGTGCGTCATGGGCAAAGAGCTTCGTGTCCTAACACTTTCATCTCATGGTAGCTTGGGTCAGCCCTGCTCAGAGCCAGCTCCGAGATCCGACGTAGAAGAGAAAAATCATCTTCCTGCACTCTGGAGAGCGATGGCCACTTTCCAGACTTCCCTAAAGCTTTGAGGCAGGGAGTCTGATGCACTTGTAGGAAACCAAGCCCCCAGAGTGACTTTCTTTACTAAAAACACCAGCCATCCAAAACGCAGCTTGCAGCTGGGCAAGTGGACCAATTCGGTGACTGCTGAGTGGACAGGAGTTACCGTGGAGGACGAACTAACACACTCTGTGAGTTAGTCTCTCACCTTGTTTCCTTTTTTTTTTCGAGAGAACACAACCTTTCTCCTGTGATCACATAGTAGTACTGGAGTTATCTTTTTAAAAAAAAAAAAAAAGATTTTATTTATTTATTTGACAGAGAGAGACACAGCGAGAGCGGGAACACAAGCAGGGGGAGTGGGAGAGGGAGAAGCAGGCTCCCCGCCGAGCAGGGAGCTCAATGCGGGGCTCGATCCCAGGAGCCCGGGATCATGACCTGAGCCGAGGGCAGACGCTTAACGACTGAGCCACCCAGGCGCCCCCGGAGTTATCTCTTGACTGCTGTATTCTCTAAATAAATGCATGCAAAACCTTATACAAGTAGCTACTGGTGTTTAAAAATTACACACATTAATCTTTTCCTAATATGCCTGTAAGTGGATCTGAACGACAGTGATTTAGATGTAAAATCCAACGACAATCAGCCAGGAAGGGTGATGTAGGAAGGGATGACGTGACAGTCACCAAAAGGGGCCCTGGCAGCTTCTGGGTTCTCTCCTGATGGAGCCGAACAGTGGTCCGGCTCGCCCCCATGCAAGACAGATTCGGCTTTGCTGAGGCTTTAGGACTTACTCATAAATATGGACAAAAGGGAAAATTCTGCAGGGTACCTGTTCCCTGCTCAACACGAGGTTTCACCCAGCTTGCCAGACCATCCACGTATTTGCTGGGCTCAAGTGAGAAGAACAAATACCCGGGGCCCGCCAGTTTCCGGAGCGACCACAGGAGGAATGTCAGTGCCGTGTGAGCTGCTGCCTGTGTTGAAAAGACCACAGGGACCGGGCGGCCCGGGACACTGGCAGGGTGAGTCCCGGGTTCCGGGGCCTCGGGTCCCGCAGGCCGTCCCGTTGGGTGGCCAGTGTTCCCCTCCTTTCACAAGTGTGTCTTACAGCCTTAACCGAAACGGTGCTCACGCTCTGCTTGCGGAGAATGAGGGGCGGCAAGGATGAGGCTCTGGCCGGCGGGCTGCTCATACAGCTGCCTCTTGTTCTCATAAATGCTCTTCCTCCAAACAAAAACGGTTCTAAAGTCTCCTGTTGGAATGAGACACGGGGACTGCCTCGGCTGGGAAAGGACTTCCAGGTTTGGGGGCAAAAGCTGGCTCTCCCTGTGGGCTCAGCGCCGTGCCACAAGGGTGTCCTTCCTCTCGGCCCCCTAGGAGACAGGCTGTAGCTGCTGCATTTGTGAAATGGGAAGGCTCTTTTTTTTTTTTTTTTTAAGATTTTATTTATTTATTTGACAGAGACACAGCGAGAGAGGGAACACAAGCAGGGGGAATGGGAGAGGGAGAAGCAGGCTTCCCGTGGAGCAGGGAGCCCGATGTGGGGCTCGATCCCAGGACCCTGGGATCACGACCCGAGCCGAAGGCAGTCGCTTAACGACTGAGCCACCCAGGCGCCCCAAATGGGAAGGCTCTTAAGACAAATGACTTCGGGTCAACACACTGGCCTGTGCAGCAGCCCCCGCCCCCCCCAGGGTCAAGACTCAAGGTCGTCTGCTGCCTTTGCCAAGCAATCACTCAGGGCTGCCAGGCCGGCCGCCGAAGCCCCTCGTGTTGGGTTCTTCCCCACCCACAGAAAGACACGGCAGCTGTGCACGTACACGACTGGCTGCATTTCCTAAAAGCATCTTCAGAGATTTAATCAAAAAAACATTTTAAAACAATTTTTTTTTTTAACTTTTTTTTGCCAGGATGAATGAGGCTCAACTTACTTCCTTGATCAACATGCTAGACAAGAGGGCAAGTCCCTTTTCAGGGCCAGCCCCTCCGCCCTCCGAAAGGAGCCCAGGGGAAGGCTCGGGCAGCACCGAGCGCCCCAAGCAGCACAGCGCCTGACCCATCAACCAGGAATGAACGAGTATCCCAATCTCTAACGCACTCCTGCCACCCTGCCTTGGGGTTTGAGTATTTCCAGAGTTTCCACAAATGTGAACGAAAACCAACCACTTCAGATGTTTCAAGGCTGTCTGTCCTAACACAACGGTCCTGCAGACTCGAGGGGACAGTAGAGGACCGAGCACATATTCCTGCTTCTCTTGACCCATGACATTCTGTCCCCCTTCGCAGCCTTTGTCACGGACAGGTAATGTGTCCGAAACAGAGTATGAGAAGCTTCTAAATAGTTAGCGTAGGTCTCCTTCTCAGAGCGGCACCTCGGCGGGGCAGGGCTGGGCTCCGGGCCCCTCCGGGTACTGAGTCCCCAGGCGCTCAGGGGAGGCCGACGAAGTGAACGGAGCACCGACTTAAGCGCTTCAGTAACTGAAATGGCCCTGTCTTCTCTTGATGCCCTTTCCTAAAGTAAAAATAAGAACCTTTCTTAAGTGCAATTAGGCCAAAATAAAATCCAGAATGTTATACACAGTCAGTACGTTGAAGTTTCAGAGTTAGCAGTAAAAAAAGCAAAGCTTTTCTCCAGGAAAGGATAAGCAGTTCCAACCGAGTCAGTCTTCAGCCCCTGCAGCCTTGTCCTGTTTTAATATTAAGGTTCCGAATTGTTTGAAAAGCACTTATTAAGCACCTTTAGATCTTTTCAGTATCTAGAAAAGTTTCCTAGGGCTGTGTGAGTAAAGCGTTCCACTGGGTAAGACTCATGATTTTTACCTTTATCACTTTTTTTTTCAAACAAAAGCACAGTCTTGATTTACATGTTGAAGGAACTAGATATTTTTGAAATTTCTGGCATTTCTGTTCTGCTGAATTTTAAGGGAAGAATCAGTACAAAGTTAGGATTGCTAAATAATAATCCCCTTGAATTTGAAAAATGAATTAAATGACACAAATTGCACTCTTTCTTAAAGTTTGTAGTCTTTAGCCAGATGGTTCCCAGAGGTTTCAGGGAATTCGCAGAAGTCACCAATGGAGTTTCAGGATGCCATTCCATCTGTATGTTTGCAAATGAGGAAGGAAAGCAGTGGAGAATATTGACAAAGTTGATGAACTAGTACAGGGTGGCTCGGACTTTTAAAGTTTATACAAAATAACATCACAAAACTACAGAACCCCACACCCTGCCAGGATAGGCCAGGTCTACAATGAGCTAGCTAAGCGCATCTGAGGCAAAAAGGCCAAGGCTCCCTGAGCTGCCTGCGGACAACAGGGACAGTGGGGGGTGGAGCAGAGACTCACACTTTTTTGTCCTGCCCACAGTTGTAGTTAGGGAATGAATTCCTTCAAGTGCACAGTGAACCCTATCGATCTCATACACAAAAATTAACTAAAAATAGATGAACAGATGAATCTAAATGTAAGAGCTGAAACTATAAAACTCTTCGAAGAAAACGTAAATGTGAATCCTCGTGACCTTGGGTCAGGTAATGTTTTCTTAGATACGATCTAAAGAGCATATGCAATAAAGAACAAGTTAATAAGCAAGACTTCAAAATTAAAAACTTTTGTGCCTCAAAAGACACCCTTAAGAAAGTGACAAAAGACAAGACACAGACCGAGAGAAAAAAACTAGATCATATCCCTGGTAAAGGACTTGTATCCAAAACATATAAAAATCTCTTATAATTCAATAAGAAGACAAACAACCCAATTAAAAGATGGGCAACAGACTTGAACAGACATCTCACCAAAGAGAAATAAATGGCCAACACACACAAGAAACAATGTTCACCATCATGAGCGAAATGCAGATCAAAACCACAGTGAGCTACCATCTCACGTAGAGTGGCCATCATCAGAAAGACAGGGACAAGCCCCAGGGGAGACTGTGGACAGGCGAGAACCCTCACATGGCGCTGCTGGGAATGCAGGACAGTGCAGCCACTGGAAACCATTTGGCAGGTTCTTAAAATATTGAACATGGATTTGCCACATGACCCAGAAGTCCCACTCCCAAGAGAGACGAAAACACCTGGCCACACAAAGACTTGCTTATGAATGTTCAGAGCAGCATGATGCATCATAAACAAAAAATGGAACCAGGAGATGAAGAAATAAAATGTGTGGCATCTCTGCACACTGGAGCGTTCAGCAGTACAAAGGAATAAAGTACGTAGCAAGGAACACATATGTACAAAGGAATAAAGTCCCAATGTGTGCTACAACGTGGACAGACCTCAGAAATACCGTGCCAAGTGAAAGATGCCAGATAGCAAAGACCACAGACGGTGAAGTTCTACTTAAGTGAAATGTGCAGAGTAGGCGAATCTAGAGAGACAGAGGTGGTCAGGGGTCGCCCAAGGCCAGGGGCAGGGGTGGGGACCGACTGCAGATGGACACGGGGCTTCCTTCCAGCAGGATGTCCTCAGGCGGACCGGGAAGGACAGCCGCACAAGTACACGGACGATCACTGAACGGACACGTCCGAGACTGTGTGAATCGCACCCCGAAAAGCTGTTTGAAAGGACTGAGAGCTTAACAAAATTCTCAGTGTCTACACATCCCTTAACTTCTTGGAGAGGATCCAGTGCCCTGGAGGGAAGGTGAGTGCGTCGTGCCTGAGAGATGCCTCACCCGGAGGCAGCTGCTAGGGGTCAGGAGGGAGTCTGTAAGCTTCTCAAAAGAGTTCAGGAAGCTCTAAGGTCAATCTTTTAAAAATTTAATAGCGAAAAGAAGCTAAAGAACACCATCAATGACATATACCTTGGGCTATTTTAGAAAACTGCTGAAACGCTGACATGCTGAAAAAGATGCTTCCTTGTCAAGACGTCATTCAGCTGCACTTAACACTGACCTCGCACTGGCGCGTCCTGGTTTAAAGGTCAACGGCTTCCAGCACGTAGTAACAAGGCTTCTCTACTGTCCCCCGGCCTCCTCTGCCAGCGGACCGTAAGAGACTCTAAAGGGGCCTCCGGCATCTGCGGTGGCCCTTCCGTTAGCCCCTCGGGCTTCTCAGCAAGGAGATCCTCCATCCTGCAGGGCCCCCAACCCAGGGCTCACCTCTAGCGCATCTGGTTGCGCCCCCTTCTGTACAGGAACCCGTGAACGGAGTGGCGGACCTCGGTCTCAGATAATGTGTTGGCTCTGAAGCTGACAGCCAGTAGAAGACAATATAACTGGGCTTTCCTAAAATAAACCATTTATTGAAAAAAGAACCTTTTTCTTAAATTTCATTAATCAGCCTTTGCATAACAAACCTGTGGCTTGCCGCCAACAACAACAAAAAGGTAAGGTTTCACAGTCAGTGCACTCGACAAACAAGAGTTTCACAACAAGGCCCAGGACACCTGATAACACTACAACTGCTTTTGAACCCAGGAAGGTCAAAATACTACGCTGATGTCACGGTTCTCAGTCCCACGAGAAGCAGGTGACAGAGCGACGGTCCGTGGACAGTAGTAATGGCACTTAACATGCAGCGTCTTTACCTCGTGGACCCGTCACTCGGAAGGGCCCCGGGCCACGTCAAACAAACAGGAGCAGCAGGAGAAGTGACGCCTGTCACCTGTGCAGCCTTCAGTCTTGGAAGCTTAAAAAGGCTTATACTGCTTCTCAGCACAGTCTTTATGTAAATATTACATACAGTAGTGATTACGAGAACTCTCCGAGCACACACACTACCAGGCCGCGGACCGACGAGCTTCATTCTTCATCCGTGCAGACCTGCGAGAGAGGCAGGAGAGAGCTGAAGCCCATGGGCGGCAGGCACACGACTTACAGGTTAAGTCACCGCCGCCTCGAGGACCCCGGCTCGGAGCCGGCCCGACGGCAGGCTCAGCTCGTGCAGCCGGTGACGTTGGCCAACTGGCCACTGAGGGCACCTTGCAGAACGCATCTGTACAGTATCGAGTTGACACAAACTGTCTCAACAAAGAAACGACTGTGTTTTTAATTACAAATCCCTGGTATCTACATAGCAAATCCAGCTACTGGTTCCTTAATTCCACTCACCCCGCTCTCCTCACCTTCCCTCCCCCCGTCAGGGGCTCCCCTGCAGGGCCCTTTCAGCGAAGCTTTCCCAGGGTTCCCTTCTCACCACATTTCTCCTCGGAGTACTCTCCCAACAATGTGCTGTCTTCTGGATCTGCATCCGTGCCCTGTTCAATCCCAGGTGTGAGCCCTCGTTACCTACATGCCCATCTGAAATCCCGAAGCAGACGTTCCAAGCACGCCTCAACCATAACATACCGAAGAGGAAACCACGGCCTTCCTGCCCCGACCGTCAGCCAGCTGCCTCTGCACCCCTCCTGGCCGACGGGGTCTCTAACCTGGGGACCCAAGCCAGGGCCTGGAAGCAGTGCTAGACCCCTCCCCTTACTCGCCTTTCTCATCCCATCAGCTATTCAGTCATGGCCATTTTAACCCCCTAAATATCACTTATAACTCGCCCCTAACCTCCCATGCCCAGCCCACTAGCTGTAGCAGCAACTTCCTAACAACTATGCCTCCAGAAGGATCATTCTAAAACATCATTTAATCGTGTCATGCTTATCATAAAACTGAAACTCCTTCATGGGGCTCCTGTTCACTTTTGCAGCCTTACCTTTGACCATTTTCCACATCCTGTGATCCATCTACACACAGTTCCTCAACCGTCTCACCCTCGTTAGCCTGCCGTACCCACACCTCCCTGCCCGGCCTACCCACACCCTCCCAAACAGCTCAGGCAGGCATCTCATTCCAGAGAAAGCAACAACGGCTGAGATCGCCTGGCTGGATGAAATCGCTCTTCGCAGTGACCCGACAGCATGGCGTACATGCCCTCATCCCAGCTCGGAACACAATGCTTCGTCACTACTGAGCCCTACACTCTCAGGAGTAGAAACTATGTCTTCCACCCAGTCCCAATTAAAATTCCATGTAACAGTCCCAAGTGTACCATAAGCACACCAAGATGGATCAAGCAGAGAACCTCAATGAACATTTACTGGGAAAAAAAAAAAAAAAAAAGATACAAAATTCCCTGGCATAATACATTTAGCTCCTTTCCATTTCAGATATAGATACAGATATTTTATATCTAAGTTTCCAAATTTCCTTCAGTGCCAGATACAAACAGAACTCAAACACTCAAACATGAAAAAGACTACACAGCTATCTGCCCAACCTTGACGAAGGAATGGTCGAGGAGCTGGCTGGCCGTCCACCTCATCCTGGGCTCACTTTCAAGGCAGTGAGAAAGGAAGTCCTTTCCTTCCGGGCTTAATCTTTCGGGGATCGGTGGCTTGTGCCCCATTCCCACTTTATACATAATCTGAAAGTTGTGTTCATATTCATGCCAAGGTCTCTAAAAAAAAAAAGGGGGGGGGAAGCATGTTTAATGGCCATAAAAAAATGAAACTGCCCAATCTTTTCAGGCATCTCAATGTTAATAAATACCCAGAGACCAGCAAGATTTTATTCACAGGGCCAATTAGTATTTTAGGCTTGCGGGCCACATAATCTCTGCCACAGCACCTCAATTCCCCTCCTGTGGGCCTGACTGCAGCCACAGAAGATACATAAATGGATGGGTGTGACTGAATGCCAGTAAAACCTTATTTACAAAACCAGCTGGTCAGCACAGTCTGCCTACCCCATCTGGATGTTCTATTAGTCCAGCGTTATCTAGAAGCCACCATCATGCAAATAAAAAATGTAATATATAAAATGATACTAAAATGTCAACAAAACATAAAAAACTCAACAGTTCTCTCAGAGGGACATCACTACGCCACCTTGTTGAATAATGAACATCAACTCCTAAAAGCGCAAAGCTCTGGTTATATTACACATCATAAAACATAAGAATAAAATGCTATTTCGTTCAGCAGTCACAAGGTATAATACATATATTACTAATAACACTTGAGAGGTTTCTTACATTTTCTGCTTTATAAGTGATACCACCATACACACATACAACAGTCCCTTTATACATCTGTATAGCTGTTCATTAGCAGTATTTTCATCAAAAGATACACTTTTGGAATTCTCAGATAGGCAATCATACAGAACATTCTTGTGCTCTATCTAGCCATCCTTCCCTCCCTCTCCTGGAGCCGCTGCCAACGGCTGACCCTCCTCCTGCCTCCTTCTGCCTCGCCCGGAACGCCATGTGGTTGGAATCACACTGCATGCACGTGGCGCTTCCAGATTAGCTTCTTTCTCGTCGGCAGTATGCTATTACAGTTCCTCCGCGTCGTCCTCTGGGCTGGACGGCTCATTTCTTGTCACTGCTGCAGAATACCCCGTTGTCTGGATTAGCAGTTTGCTCATCCGTTCACCTACGGAAGGACACCTTGTTGCCTCCAAGGCTGGCAATCATGAGTCACACTGCAGTCGCGTGCTAGTGTTTGAGTGGACAGAAGTTTCTAGTTTCCCGTCTCTTTCTGTAGCGCCTTGCTTCTCTCCATGTTTTCACTTGAGCTTCCTACATTTTTTATTCACTCACCTAAGAGTTCTCTAAGTCATAAATCTTACAAGTATTTGGTTCCTAGTTTGTCACTTGTCTTCACATTACTGTATCTTTTGATAGGTCACATCTTTTATATTTAGTCACGTTCTCTAGTTAGCAGAAAATGTGTCCATGGTATTTATAAAAGCTAATAAAACCATAATTACAGCTCTGTTCCTGTGAAGTGCCCTCCGGGAGTTTCTCCTCCAGGTGTGGGCTCTGCTTACCTTGCCTGTCACCATCTCTATGACGACACACCCCAGACTCCAGATGTCCGCGGCACGCCCATGGCCTTCTCCTTTTGCGCGAGTGATGACCTCAGGAGCCATGTATGCTTTAAAAGTCACAGATACGGTGATAGAAATGGGTTATAAACACAGCACCCCACAGTAATAGAGCCAAGCAAGAAATTAATATTGTGTAGTACTCCACATAAATGAAACAACTAATTTGTTGGGGCGGGGGGGGCAGAGAGGACGTTCTCCAAGTTACATAATAGGAAACACTGAAACTAACAGACATTTCAAATAAATTTTCTGAATGGACATTTTAGGGGCTGAATTATTACCTAAAGGACAATTTTTGAATGGCAAATCTTCAGATAAACTGTATTCACAGTAAAATATGAAATTTAATGTGCAAAAAAAGATGTAAAATTCCATGACACTGAACAATCAAAACAAATAATCACCACGTAGACAAGTCCCTTTTTAAAGGCACAATAAAGCAGACTGGTGGGGAGCCTGCCAGGCGTGGGCTTGGCTGCGCGGGTAGCACATTCCCGTGTGCTAAGATATTCATTGACTTCTGGGTGTGCCTACCCACTCCTTTTCCTTTAAAAGGGCCAATAATGCTCCAAACTTCCTGCCTCCTTTAGAGAGGCATGAATTGTCACAGGTGTTGGGACAATAAAAGCGTTATGTTCTTAAAAAAAAAAACAACCCATACTGCTGTATTTAACATACTGCTGTGTTTTGACTAGAATAGTTTTAATAAGCCCCACGTGAACAACAAAGATAGGTTTTCTGGGAAGAAAGAGAGGCCTTTCCTCCCTCGTCCACTTCAGGGGCAGAGGCGAATTTGTGTGTCTGAGACGTGCTGGCAGGTGGAAGCATGTACTCGAAAGCCCTCCTCCCTCCTCCCTCCTCCCTGGTCCGTGCTGACAACAGAGGAGCCGGGAAGCCCAGTCAGCAAGCGCGCTGCAGTGAGTCACCTCGGCAAAGACAAATCAAGCCAGTCCCCACCTGCTGTCCCCAGCGTGCTATTCACTTCACCCGGCATGGTCTGCGCGTTGTTCTTAAGCTTTACTGAGCATCCGAAATCGCCCAGCTTGATGAGTCCGGAGGAGGTGAGGAAGATGTTGGCACCTAACAACAAACAAGCGCTCGTCGGGCTCAGGAACACGCGGACAGCATTTTCAGCTACACGGCAGCCCCAATTCCCAGGAGTGTGAGTCACAAACCAAATAATGTCAAGGTTGATAAAACCTGACTTACGAAGCACAATCACAGAAAGATTTTCAGCCTTGTTCACAAATGTGAATACAAGGCAAAGACATTTTCGTATCAGTACAGACAGCTTTGAACAGAAACACCAGCACAGATTCTAACGCAGAAGACATAGGGAGAGCCTTCCACAGGAGTTACTCGTAAGCTACAACGGCTTGTGGTGGCCTCGTCTGAAGACCAGAGTCGTGAACGTGCAGTGAGAACGTGCGCACACACTGCTGTTCTCTGCAGGCCTGGCTGAGGCTGCCCTGGGCTGACTTCGCGCTGAGACGGCAGAGATGCTTCCGGAGCCTCCTTACGTCTCTCAAAGCAACACACACGCTTCCCTCGGACTCTAGCTGGAATCTGGGGTCACTGCTCACGGCTCCAGGCAGCTCTAGGCTACAAGATATTGTTGCCCCAATGGGGCCACACATCGCCGGCACTGTGCGTCCAACGGCACCTTTCTCAGAAAGCATTACAGAGCCACTCAAGTTAGACAGCCAGCCACACAGTGAGCTGACGTCTAGCAGATAGTCCTCAGCGCCTGAGTGCTCCCAGCACAGACGGTCCCCACAGTGGACTCTACGGTGCGAACTTCACGACCCTGGAGCTAGTCCACATCTGCACACTTGCCATACTGAATCGTAAAAAATATCACAAGCACACAAGTGAACAGACTTGATTCAAGGACCCTGAGGAATTCTCTTCATGGCCATGGCTGATGACACAGGAAGGTCCCATTTCGTGACAGGGGTCAGAGACTGAGTTCAGGTGTCTGCGGCAGAACACCTGGAAACAGGCCATGCCGGGGCCTGACAAAGAGCCAATTAAACAAATGCTCAGAACGATCCCAGGCAGCAGAGCAATGTGGAAGATGGGCAGGTGGGGAGGCAACAAGGCTGGTGGGTGCTGGGGACTCAGGGGGAGCCACTGGAGGGAGCACAGACGATCCTTACACTCAGACCAAGGCAGGTTCTGGAGTGATCCAGCCCCGCCCTGGGTCAAGCGCCTGGTCGGGAGCCAGCCAATTCTAGAGTGAACGTGTCTAGGCCGGCCTCAGACTATGTGACAGAGTGGAATCCTTCAGTCTGGGGCCCATCAGAGACAAATAATTTGTCACTTTCATTATCCCCAGTTTCCCCAAATACAAAGGTCAGGTGCAAATGCCAGAGGGATAGTTATGAGACGAGCATGACTATTTCCCTCAAGCCAGAAGAGAAAAGCACTTCGAATCAATCAACATGACCAAGTCGGTTGTTAGCAGAATCCTACATGGGAGGACGTTGGTGTCAATAAACCTTGTCTCCCAAAACAGAGCTTACACTAGCATTTCAGATTCACTGTCGCTTTACATATTCACGACATTCATATGGAAACACCTCAGAGTCTCGACATGGAGGAAAGGATGCTCTGATCGTGAATGTCTAGTAAATCTACAAGGCTGGCTAAAGCAGCCTACAAAAAAACAAATTTCATTCTTGGGGAAACAGATCTCAATGAAAACAGCGTTATGCAGAGAGACAGAGCAGACGTCTCTGCTCATGGATGGGGACGTGTGTTCCACACAGTCTCTCGATCCTGGGTTCTTTCTGGAAGTGTATCGACAGCAAAGGCACTTCCTTCTACAGAAACGATGTGTGGGAGTGGGACCGAGTGTCTTGGTGGCACCTACTATGCGGAGGGCACGTAGTCTGGTCTCCACGGCAGCCAGGTGGGGGTGAGGATTACCTTTGATGTCACGGTGAACTATGCCGTGCTCATGGAGGACATTGATTGCGATCGTGATCTGCTTTGAATACAGCCTGATGACGTGCTCCTGAAGCCCCAGCCTCGACACCTCTTCTAACGTCCCCTCGTCACAGTACTCCATGAAGATGTACATTTCTTCCTGTGGGAGGAAGAAGATGCAGGTGTGTTTACATGTACACCAAGGGAAGAATCTGGACAACGTCACAGGTTGCCCCCCAAAGGAATCTTCTTTCTAATGGTAAGCTACACTCATCATCCTCAACACTGAACTTGTCTGAGAACAGTCATTCCTCACTCCTACACAGAGGTGTCTGCCTGCCTCCTGTCTGGAATTATACAGCTAGTCGGGGTAAGAGTGTCTTCTCCAAATCACAGGTGATAAATTATCTATAATCCTCCGAATTTAAAGTCTGCTATATAATCTCAGACAGGGACCAACAGGGCTGTCCCTATCAATGTATTATTAAGTACTGAAACACATCCTTTTCAGATATGAATTTATTTGTGAAAACATTAAAAATCACCACTATTCAACTTCCCCTGGAAGTTCAGACTCCACCAAGATGCTCCAAGTTATCCTCTTTCCCTCCAAGGGTTTACTTCTCAACACAAGGGGGGAAACGAATTTGAAGTTTTAACTTTCTCATTTCGCTACGGTTCCTTAAATACACATAAAAGAAAAATCAGCATTACTGGACAGTGCACTCAACAGTGGTTCAGTCAAAAATGGGGTGAAAAAAGTAACACGCTGTGTAAGGGGCATTTTAGAAGAATCTTCTGATCGGCAGGATGGGTTTCAGTGCTTTATAATGTCGGGTTAACGACTACAGTCTACAACTTACATTTTAGGAAGAACTCCTCTAGTTTCAGAGAGAAGGCAGAAATGATGTAACTCATGGAGATTTCCTGATAATTAGGCAAAGTTACTGTGCTCTGAAATGAGAAGACCTGCGATGTAGAACAGGACTCCGACTGTGCCCTTACTGATTCCTCACACAAAACCGCGTGATCAAAGTTGGCTTACTCTATGAAGCTCCACACCAAAATACCGAACCAGATTGGGGTGTTTGATGCCCTCAAAGATTTTCAATTCGTCTGCAGTTTCCTTGATAGTTTTGTGGTCATTAGGCTGAAATCGAATCTGTAAAGAGAAAACCGTTGATCAGCGCCGGTCCCGTCACGAACCAGAAACAAGACACCTTTACCCACGAGGGCCTCCTGACATCTGCATCATCCAGACGCACGGGACTGTGGTCAGTGTGTCTATGACTTGACTTGGAGTCTTTCTTTGCTTTGTCATTCCAAGTGAATTAGACATGCCTGCTTTGGAATATTTGGTGAGAGACCAGCTAATAGGATCATTTTCATAACTGCAAACTGAATTCACAAAAACATTAAACATTCTGAGATCACAAGTGTATAGGTTCTGGGAAGATAAAAAGATGTGAGATGACTGTGCCCTTAAGGTTACACAGGGCCACATGCACCCCAGTGTTGACGGCAGCAATGTCCACAAGAGCCAAACTGTGGAAAGAGCCCAGGTGTCCACCGACAGATGAATGGATAAAGAAGACGTGGTCCATACATGCAATGGAGTATTACTCAGCCATCAGCAAAATGAAAGCTTGCCATTTGCAACGATGTGGATGGAAACAGAAGGTATTATGCTAAGCGAAATAAGTCAGAGAACAATGATCATATGATCTCACTCATATGTGGAATTTAAGAAACAAAACAGAGAATCACAGGGGAAAAGAGGAAAAAATAAAACAAGATGAAATCAGAGAGTGACACAAACGATAAGAGACTCTTAATCATAGGAAACAAACTGAAGGCTGCTAGAGGGGAGGGGGTAGGGAGATGGGGTAACTGGGTGATGGGCATTAAGGAGGGCACATGATGGAATGAGCACCGGGTGTTCTCTGCAACTGATGAATCACTGACCTCTGAAACTAATAATACATTATATGTTAACAAACTGAATTTAAGTTTCAAAAAGAAGTTTACGACTGGGGCGCCTGGGTGGCTCAGTCAGTTAAGCGGCTGCATTCGGCTCAGGTCATGATCCCAGGGTCATGGGACAGAGGCCTGCATCCGGCTCCCTACTCAGTGGGGAGTCTGCTTCTCCCTTTCTCTCTCCTCACTCGTGTTCTCCCTCTCAAATAAATAAATAAAACACAGGAGCAGGGGCAGAGGTGGGGAGGAGAGGCAGAGGGAAAGGGAGAAGCAGGCTCCCCGCTGAGCAGGGAGCCTTCGATCTCCGCACCCCGAGATCATGACCTGAGCTGAAAGCAGACGCTTAACTGACTGAGCCACCCAGCCGTCCTAAATAAAATCTTTTTTTAAAAAAAAAGAAGTTCGTGACCCAGCGGGAACAAGGTGGTAGAGGCGGTGCAAGTGAGTGTCTTCCCACGCAGGAGCTGCGAGAGGGAGGGCCACGGCAGCTCCAGCCTCTTCCCCCATAGGCTCCTCTGCCCCTCAGTCCCAAAGGGTCTCCTCCTGAGCGATTACAGTGTTTGCTTCCCTGACGGGCCTCCTCAGGTTTTCCCTGCTCTCCCCCATCGTACCTCCAGCTATTGAAATGCTGCTCATTTCTGAAACTGACCACAAATGGTAACTTTTCCGCCAGCTCCCTGCTAAGACTGTTACCACCGCCCTCTCAGCCTTCAGCTAACTTTCTGGCCTCCCTCTGTATGGCACTTAGCACACCTGGGTGGAGGCAGAATTATCTGTGCACCGGGTTTGGGCGTCCTCACTGGAATCGGACACTCCGTCATCCCAGGGCATCTGCCTAGATGACTCAACATGGAGGCAGCCAAGCTAGCTCTAGGTGCTAAGAACAGCCTCGAAAACGAGCTTCTTCACCAAACCTCTATCACACAGAGGCTTCAAACCAAAAGGCCCCCCACAAGGCCAGACCACTCACCTCCTTCATAGCCATCAACTCGCCTGTGTCAACACTGATACAGGTGTAGACCTTCCCATACTGCCCCTCCCCTGTGAACAGAACAAACACACTGCTCTCAGTCACCAAAGCGAGGCCATTTTAAGTCACTCAGATGTATAATAATCTTCCCCAAGTCTGGTTCTATATTTATATAATCTACAATTATCTACCATTGCAAGACCCAAAATGTTTCTGAACATTCCCCAATGACTGAAGGCAATCTCTTGGCTGTGCCTTCCCTGTAAAAATCTAGAGTAGAAGTGACTTTGGCAAACCCGAGGAGGGGCATGAAGGTGCACACTTCTGAGCCCTTACGGCCCTCAGGGAGGTCAGGGCCGGGGGTCAGGAGTAAGCCCGGCCACCGGCTAACTACGCCTCATTGCTGCATGGCCCAGGCTGTGTGGGAGTGGATATTCGACCAACACATCTTTGGGGACATTAAGCGAAGGGGATATATGACTAAGCCTGATAACAAGAATTGATAAAATTTATAAAGCACTTTATTTTTTCAGTGTTTTCTGCCCTGATAGCTCTACGGAATGCTGAGGGTTTCCTGGGGGCTCACAGAGTCCTATTACTACAACTGTGTTGGCCTCTTCAGACCTAAACACTCCCTGGAGAGATGCATTTAAAAGACGGAAGGGTCTGAAACATGGTCAGGCTCCTTCTGTCACACGAGCCACCAGCAGTTATTTTACAAGAGGCGCTTCACCTGGAAATTAATTAATAGGCAATGTTTTAGGGAAGACTGTCTCTATCTGTACCCAGTCTCTCTTCAATAATGTGCTGGAAGGAACAAAGTCATAAGAACATCAACTGGAACTAATGGGTAAAGTTTATGTAGTTCGTCCACTGGCAACTTCTGAAGTTATCAAGCAAAACGATTCAATTTAATGAACCATTTAAAAAAATCTTTCTAAAATCTTCTCTTGTGCTGCTCTTAGAACACATTTTATAGACACATTATTTATACAAACTAAAAAACAGAACCCTCTGCAAAAGATATGCCATGTTATAAGAGAAAAGGACCAATTACATGATTTGGCCTAAAGACATGTAACTCTTGCCATTTCCAACAGAGGTTCCTCAATTTCCTTACCAATTTTGTTTCCTCTTTGCCACTTGAAGGTCACCTTCCTCAAGCCTACGTGCATAACATTATCGTAAGATTTAGGAGTATCACACACTTGACCAATGATATTCTTTCTCCTCATTTCTCGATACCTCTTTTCTTCAAACAAGCGGACTGACTTCTGGATAGCTTCTATGGGTCCTTGTTTGGAAGCACTGTCTGCAGGGAGAATCACAAAGTCAGTAGTCCCAGTCACCACAGCCAGTCAATGTCCAGCAAACAGTAATAGAAACAGAGCAATACACATGAGCACTCCAGCACAGCATGGCTTATCGTCCTCTAGTCAGATACCCAGCAGGTGCGTTCAAGTCCATTGCAATCCAACAGCTCCAGAGGACACCACCCACTGCACAGACACATACAAAATACGGGCCAGTAAGGCAGAGCCGATGACTTCCTCCCTGCAGACTGCTGCTCAGACAGACATTGCAGTGACTTCCCATTTGCCTCCAGTCTCTCTGGTCTCCGAGCCACTCTTGTTGGCCAGAACTGTCTTACTAACAGGTAAAACCTGATCATGTCCCTTTCCTACTTAAATTTATTTCATGGTTCTCAACCTGTTTACCAAAAATCCAAGCCCTTTCTATGGCATTCACGACCCTGCAGAATTTGGACCTGGTTTATCTTTCCCAGATCACTTTTGTCAGTATTCTCCTTTTCTTCCCCTACCACAGGCCCCAGACGAACCAAACTGAACAGACTCATATAGAACACTCTAAGCCGTTTCTCACTTCAAGCTTATGTCACACTCTCCTCCCTGTCTAAAATGCTGTCTTCCCACCACCGTGCCTGGGGAGTAGATCTCACGCATCACAGCTCCGCTGAAAGACCACACCTTTTCTCGGGAGCCATCTCTGGAGAGAAGCGAATTAAGTTGTCCCTTCTCTGGAAAGAGTCCAGAGCAAAGGCTCTGGAACCAGAATGCCCGAGTAAAATCCTGGCTTCGCCATTTTCCAGGTGTTTGAAAATGGGCAAGTTACCTGATTTCTTCACATATCAAATTCCTAATCTGTGCAATGAGGGTAATAATACCTCACGGACAAGCACTACTGTGAGTATTTAGTGAAATCATATGCGTAAAGCGCTAAGCCCTGGTGCCCGGGACACGGCAACACTCAGTAAGATTTAGCTACTGTTACTACTGTTCCTTACCTTCTCCTCAGGCTCCACATCTCTAGTTTTTCCACTTATTTTACCATGACCTACAGTGAAAAATAACTTCTACACATACAGAGATCTAAACAACAGTTTCATAAAACGATATTACTCTTACCACATATGATTCAGACTCCATCCTATTTTTTTTTTTTTAATGCGGACTGTACAACCCATCGATGGGTCACACCTGTCATGTGAAAAGCACTGCCTTAGATGTGTCCCCTTACATACTCCTCATTCTGTATCCTCACTATCTAAGAGCCTGAATTTTCTGGCCAACGAAGAGATCAAGGAGGACGAGGATGGCTGTGAGGTTAATTTGAGAAGAGAAATTCCCCAAGGTTTATAATGTTCTAATTATAGGTTCTTACTACAACCATTTCTTAAAAACATGAATCGCTGTTTTACCTCAATATATGACACATCAGGTCTCCTGGGCACAACAAGATTTCACAGCTATGAGCCCATGGACTCCACTGTCAAATATTTCTGGGAAAGGCTTTTTTTTTAAACAGCAAAAATTTCTCAAGATTTCTCCATCTTTGTTAATGCAAACTGTAACTGTCCTGAGAGTTCCCAAGTCCTCTTGACCACAAAGCATTTGTTTTGAAAATTATCACAGAGACCTGGCATGCGTGCGAAACTACTCGTGACGTGGGAGCCACTGGAGAGACTCTCTTCCCCATCACCCAGGCTCCAGCCCATGGATCTCCCTGCCCTAAACCCGCCGCACACATCTCGCCTGCCCCAGGCCTGGCAGTCATTTCTCGACTTCATTCCTTTTTTGAAAATCCCACCTTAGTCTGGTATCTGACACTGCATGACTGTAATGATATGCTAACCCATCTCCCCATTTCTTCCCCACTCCGGGCTAGCAGCTTCCTCCACCCCAGGGTTTTCCTAGCTCCTCCTCCCCACTCCCCGAACACACCAGGTGCCCAAGAGGCTGCAGGGCTGCCTGCCATCTCTGGGAAAGGCCTTAATCACTTAGCTGTCACTGAAAGACTGGCCATGGTCTGACTTCCCCCAGTCCCTTCAAGTTCACCTCCATTTACTGCTACACAATCACTGCGCCTCCCTCCAAATGTGTTTTTATCCTGTACTTTTCCTCCAGGCTTGATGCAGACCAGTTTTTCCTTCAAGAGTCAGCTCAAGCCTCACCCTTCCATGACATCCCCCGACTATTCCCGGCTTTGGTGGACAACATACTTCCAAGGGGCGATTGTCAGGTAAGAGCACCAGACTTGGAGACAGAAGCAGTGTGCGCTGATCCCAGCTCTGTCAGTTATCACCTTGGCCCAACTATTTGGCTTCTCAAAAACATTATCATACAGCGTAAGACATGAATAGTTCTTCATTTCACAAAGATTATTATATTCCTACGCCCACCCAAGGTGACTTACATAATCAACCACCATGACTGCTTGAAGAATACAAAGATGAATAAAACATGTTCCAGATCCAAAGGAGCTTATAATTTATTATAAGAAATAGGAAACGCATACAAACACAGTATACATAGGAAGTAATGTCACAGGTATAAAAGAGATCACAAAATATTAATGTAAATGGACTAATAATTCAAAAGCTAAAGCATATTTTAGCTGAAACTTCTCACTTTATGCTTAAACATCTTAAGTTCAACGTTCTCTCTCTTACCCTTCGTCTGGCTGATAAGTGTCCGAAGTTCCCAGCTTCTTCGAGCTGACCCACCTGAATCACCTTTTGGATATGCTGGTTCTGGAAGAAGTATGTTTTTCACACAAATTAAGATTTATGGAACAGATATGCTTACGTAATCGAAAGCAAGACTGAAATGGTGCGTGGCAATGATTAGTTACCATCAACCTGTCCTTTCTGGTCATTAATTTCTATTTGACGTGAGTGTGAGAAGCTATCTTGACAATCAATTCTAGAAAACTATACCAAACTAAGAAGTTGTCATGATTACATGTTACATGATTACATTATGTTACATGATTTTAACTATATAAACCTTCCATAAATAACAAGACATCAGACTACTGAGCGGAAATTAGATTCTCTGGGGACCCCCCTCAAGAGGCCTGGCATTATAATAAAGCCTCAGTGTATCATTAACAAACCTACTACAGGTTTGTATTTTTAAAGAAAATAAGAGTGCTTGGCAATTAAAGTATCAGGAATAATTTTCTTTGAAAAGCAACAAAAGTAGACCTAGAAAATGCAAGTACAGCTAAAAAGGCATCTATAGTAAAAAGCCAACATGTTGAATATCAAATGTTCTCCGGGAGCTCTGTCACCTCTTTCTCACTCTTCATTTCTTTCTGAGGCATAACCCATGGAAACTGGTAAACTGAGGCAGAGGATTCAGCCGGTTGAGACCAGAGTCTGCGCCTCACACACTCACCATCGCGCTCCTCTGTGGGGCTTGAGTGGCGGCTCAGGGACCGAAACTGTAACTCGGCGGCTATGGAAGCCAACCGGTCGTTCTCAGGGACGCTGGAACCCCTGTTTCAAGATTTTTTTAAAAAATTGAGCTGTCAATTCAATGGAACTCAAAATGAAAGATCTGGGAGATTCTTCTAGAGCGGTAATTCTCAACTAGGGGTAATTTTGCCCGCTGGGGAAACCTGGTATCAAGTGAGTACAGGATAATGCGACGGACAGCCCCCAAGATACAGAATTAGGCACCCAAAGTGAACAGCGCTGCTACTGGGAAACCCTTCTCTGGAGCTGGGAAGGACAGTCGGATTTTTATCCTCCGCTGCTGGCACATGAGAACCTGACTGCGTAACGCTCTGTTTTAAGTTAAAAACAACAAAAGTACAAACAAAACAGGATTTATTCAAGGGTTACTGACATGTGTGGAAAGCTCCACCATTTAAGCCCAGGAGGGATAAAAATTATTAGCCAAACAGAGCTAATATTTAAAATTCTGATCATACTATGTATTTATGTACTTAATTCTATTTAAAGTGTTAAAATTATTACATGATTCAAAAGATTTCAAATCTCTTACTAAGAAAATGCAAGGGCACACTTAATGATTTTTCAAGCAGTCGCCAAGCAAAGGGGCAGAAGAGCAGGAAGCTTAGCATGTAAAGAACAAAGTTAATTTGCTGCTTTTCCAGAATAAAGTTAAGTGTGTTTAGAAATCCAGAATGAATCCATACAGAGTAAAACCCAGAATTAAATAAGGGAAGTCTTAAAATTATAATTCAAATAATCCAAGATAAGTATGGCCTAAGTTTATTAACAAGTTTCGTGTGTATGAGCGATACCATGCTCCTTTCCATCAGATGCTGAATAGATTTAAGGCGACAGGGTTCTACTGAACAGATGTTCACAAATTATGAAGTATGTACTGCTTTTTTATTTCCCTAAACTCTCAAATCTAGCATAATTGTTAAGTCTGAAGAGAGGGGGACATCCTCTATCGCCATGGGGTTCATCAAAAAGTCTTGACGCCATTTCATGGAAAAATCACAGATACTGAAGTGAAGAGACCCGCGACTCCTAAAGCCACACCCAAGACTGTGTTGCCAAGCAGAGGTCACACGACCCCTCTATTTTCCTGATCTCCCAGAGATAAAATTAGCCAATTCCACATCCTCAGAGATTTTTGCTGGGCAAAAAATATACTTAAAAGAAATAGTGTGCTGGTGAATGTTTAACTACTAGCTGTGGAGTTCTACAATTTCAGTGGTGTAACAACCGGCTTGCAAAATCCCTGAAAAATTAACCATCAGGCTCACAAAGCAGTAAGAGCCCAGCCCCAACAAACAGAACACTGTAAAAAAGTTTTATAAACATGGTAAGATCACTAAAGCCCAGACTATTTCCTAAGTCAAACCAAATCAAATCAAAACATTCAAAGGCTGCTGTGGGGCACAGTAAGACTTCACTCACAGGGCTGACGGGTCTCTAGGACGGGAAGGGCCACACACCGTGAGGTGGGGGTCTTCCTGCTGACGCTGGAAGTCCTGGCCATCATTCGGCTTCCCCCCCGCAGCCCGTTCACAAGCGCCGGGCTATACCAGGACGTCGGCGGGGCACGTGCCTCCACCTCGGGGTCTGTTGCACAGGCCCACCACAAAGGGGCTGTTCAGGCCCAAAGTTAAACTGAACAGGAGCCGGGCTCAAACGTAGGAGTGTGGCAAACCACCATCGGCTAAGCGCATCTCCACCTGGCCTTGCTGTCCTCTGCCCACCGACACCTACACACCACCAGAGAGTCAAGAGATCGTGATTCCTTTGTAAAAAATGGCCTTCGAGATGGCACACTGTGATGGTGGTAAAATTTCTATGTGTCAAGAATCATCCAAAAGATGAAGAATACTTATGAAATGCTACTCACAATGGACTGAAAACAACCTCCACAAAGCCGAAGACTAAATGCACATGAAGGCCGACCACACGTACTTCACTTTTACACTAAAATACACTTAACGTACCACACCTCCAGCTCACAAATGCCTTAAGCCACAGTTCAGGAACCTCTACAAAAGTGGGGGGCGTTCCTCCGTTTTCTAGTTTTGCAGGAATGGTGTGCAAACGTGGATGCAGTGGGTCATGGTGAAGTGCTCTCCGCCCCCGTGTCTGCACGTGAGGGCAAGTGGCTTCCCTTCACCCTGAGTTACACTTACAAAAAAGTAGTTTCAGTGCCTCCTTCAGGGACAGGAGGGCATATGTGGAAACATTTGCCATGAAATGCTCTCAACATAAAAATGAAGAAGGTAAATGGGAATCTGTTTAATGGTAAACTGTTAATTGTCTTGGTTGACAGCTTAAGCTGTAAAATACGTTGACTTTTCTTAGATTATAGATGTTTATCACTACAAATTACGAGCAGTTATTATTTTAATGAATGAGAAGGATGGAAATGTTTGTAGAAATTTTAGACTGTTACAAAGTAAGTCTAAAGACATTTTAGTGTTTCTTCAATTCTAAAGCTATACGTCATCTTTCTGCCAACAACATACTAGTATTTTTTCTTTGGAGCAAGATACAGGGCACTGAGTTCCTTCACAGTTTCATCTTTTTTGCTCAGATGACCCTCAACCCACAGAGTTTTATTTGACTCTATCCCCATCTTTATTGGAAGATGAGAAGAGTACCAGTGTACCCCCTCTGCCAGACGTAAGGGGAGAGTTAAGAGTGACCGAATGTCCTTTCTCCATTAAGTCTATGAGACCTTGACGAAATCCTCTGTCAAAACTAACAACTAGAATGGGAAGAAGCGCAAACACTCCTTACCTATACGGAAGACTCAAGCAAGAGGCTTTCTGGAGCTTGCCAAGTGTCTGAAAGCTCTCTCTAGTAATGATACGCTCTCCATATAAGATACAAGCCCCGTGAACACATTTTTCCAACTTTCATAAACTACTTCTAATCAATAATTCTATAAATTAGAAAACTTGTTAGAAAAGTGATCCTCCGAAAAAACAAATCCCCACCTAATGGTGTTAACTAGAGCCATCTCTGAGCTACGTTGGGACCGACCCCTCAAGAAAGGCACTACTTGCCAAAATTCTCACGTCCCCTTCGGTGGGGACCAGGCTCTTCGGTCTGATACTCTCTCCGAAGAGCTGTTATTGGCAGGGAGTCTGGTCATTGTGGTTAACATTAGCTCCGAGGAAATATTAATCAGGCAAATTATGTACTCGTGCTTCTGGGTGCTAGAGCCTTAGGGGGGGTGACACGTCCCCGGGCCACGTCCCAAAGCCGAGGCCGCTGCAGAAGTGCCCAGGAGGGGGCCAAGGAGGCATGCCACTGGTGGAGGGTGACTACCTGGTATCATGGGCACTGCTGACAGGTTTGGCTGGCACAGAGTCGCTGCCCGAGGGGCCGGGGCGACCGGCGGCGGCCGCAGCAGTGACAGAAGCAGCAGCGGGGCTGCCGTGGCTCCGCGCGTCCGAAGGCACGCTCCGAGTGCTGAGACGAGAAGAAAAGCTTCAGGAACACAGCTGAGAAAAGGGACTGGACTCTCCAGTGGTTTTCAATTAAGAATACAATAGGGTGAGGAAGTGAAAAATATTTAAAAATATAAAATGCAAATTTTTCTTTGAGATTCAGGTCTAGGCATAAAAAAGAAAAAAAAACTAATTATTCTGAAAAATAATTGTGGTCTTCTCCTAGCAAATACTGTCAAATAAAATTAACTTTTAAAAAGTGATTCTACAGGGGAGAGAAAATGCTCACTCCCTCAAGATGCAGAAATGCCACCACATTCAAGGGAAATACTTTGTGCTAGAGTTTCAGAACTCACTCTAGTTTTTAAGTTGCCTCAAGATTATAGACACACATGAAAGTCAAGACTGGAAAGATCATTCCAATTTTTCTTCACCTCTACACTGACGTGTAGGATTGTTTTTCAAATGTTTACTATGCTATGCACACTCAAATTTGTTTTTGTAAGGTCATTTTCAAAGAAAGAGAAAGAAAGAATTATTCCAAAGCCAGCAAGCATTTAGTAGCTTGAGGTTATAAATAAGCTGAGAAACTAAGTTATCTGGAAAGGTACAAGTCTGTTTTAAAGTTGCACGTTTTCTTCTCTTGCAACTAAGGCACACTGTGGTGTATCTTCGAGATAATGCAACTAAGTAAGAGCTTTTAAAACAGTGTGCACGAGACCACAGAAAAAACACTCAGTGATCAGAGCAAGCTCCAGCAGCCGTCGGAGCAGAAGCATGAAGCTCAGAGAAGAACCCAGACAGCAAACGGCTACATAAGCTCCAAATACCTGAATCCCTCTGGAGTCGGGATGATTAGATGTGGGTTAGGAGGGTCACTGTGGCATCGCGGCACCTTCACAGGACGGGGGCTGTTCCGATGAATAGCTGCCAGTGACAATGGTGATAAATGCAACTTGTTAAAGGAGTCAACAGAAAAAGCCAAAGCAGGTCCCCACACAGAAACGGGATGGGACCTGACTTTGCTGGTGGCCAAAATAAACCCATTATGTAAGTAAGAAAATTGTATCACATAGACCAACGTTGTTGAAAATGCACTTTTTAAAAATTATAAAAGGTATATTATACATTCAAACTTTGAGCCATCAAAAACATTTCTGAAATCCTGGAGAGAAAGTACACAATGGACAGGAAACAAACAATGTGACCCAGCTAGAGACGGAGATAACAAAGAGTTCTTGATGCTGGCTACATTTTTAGAAAGATTCTGGCCTGTGCTGACACTTCAACAGGTTCTGAGTCAGGGATGGTCACTGTCATTTTCCTGAGTATACGGAGTTTTATTTAATTCCTTTAAACCAAACGAGGAGGATCAGACACAGTTTAAGTGGGCTATTCGTCTTTTCAGAACATGTTTTCTTCTCTTCTTTGTTTAAATATTCTGGTAAAAACTAGATAAAATTTAAAATAAAAATTTAGGGGCGCCTGGTTGGCTCAGTTGGTTGAGCGACTGCCTTCGGCTCAGGTCATGATCCTGGAGTCCCGGGATCGAGTCCCGCATCGGGCTCCCTGTTTGGCAGGGAGTCTGCTTCTCCCTCTGACCCTCCTCCCTCTCATGCTCTCTGTCTCTCATTCTCTGTCTCTCAAATAAATAAATAAAATCTTTAAAAAATAAATAAATAAATAAATAAATAAAATAAAAATTTAAAGGGCCCTTGCCTAGTGATTACAGAAACGCTGATAATTCTCCTTTCCCCAAACCAGACACCACTGGGGTACCACACGTGTAACATTTTGTCTATTTCGCCCTGACTGACACATGTCCTCTTACTTTTCACTTGGTTTTAACCCTCCTTAGTTTTTTAAATGTTGTCTTTTCTCTTCAGGTGAATAATTTCATGCCATATGTTTTATTTCATCTACATACGCTTTATCCTAAATGGAATAAAGAACCTTCTTCACGGTTCTGATTTGTCTGTTGTCAATAACATTACACAAGAAACACCAAAATCCCCAAAATGGAGAGATCTGAAGGGAAAACTTGCAAAGCAAAAATCAAGCAATTACTAAGAAAAAATTCAGGCAATTTGTGTCTCTGGCTCATTATCTCAACCATTACGATAGTAAATGAAAGAACTCCAACAGTAACAAAGGTAAAAAGAGGAAAAAAAAAAGGCAATAAAAATGCTTCGGGAAGGAAGGTGATGTCTTTAATTCAGCAAACATACTGGGAACTTTGGAGGCAAGTATCACTACAAAATTTCATCTTCAAAGTATAAAAGAAAGATGCTGCTAAAACACACGCATAGGAGTTCCACATTCTTCATATATGAGAGAGAACATTTAAGAGTATATATAAGTAAGGGGCGCCTGGGTGGCTCAGTTGGTTGGGCGACTGCTTTCGGCTCAGGTCATGATCCTGGGGTCCCTGGATCGAGTCCCACATCGGGCTCCCTGCTCAGCAGAGTCTGCTTCTCCCTCTGACCCTAACCCCTCTCATGTGCTCTCTCATTCTCTCTCTCTCAAATAAATAAATAAAATCATAAAAAAAAAAAGTTACAACTTTCTAAGGCATAAAAATTTTAAAAAAGAGTATATATAAGTAACTGCTGCAAAACTGTGATTATTTCATTGCAAAGAAAATCCAAACGGTCAATAAACATAAAATAGACGCTCTAATTTCACTAGTGATATTTACTATAGAGATGCTTCTCAGGGCAAAAACTAACAAAACATGGGGCGCCTGGGTGGCTCAGTCGGTGAAGCGTCTGCCTTCGGCTCAGGTCATGATCCCAGGGTCCTGGGATCGAGCCCCGCGTCGTGCTCCCTGCTCAGCAGAGAGCCTGCTTTTCCCTCTGCCTACTTGTGACTCTCTCTGTCAAATAAATAAAATTAAAAAACCAATGTCCACAAGGAAAGGGTGCAAAGAACTGTAATACACCCACTAACGGACACAATGCAGCCACTAAGGAGAACGACTTGGATCTCTACCGTTGACAGGGAGGAATTTCTACAGCTGTCGGGCCAGAAGAGCAAGAGATGAGTATCCAACGTGGCCCAACCTTTACGCCGTAGAACAAGTGGCCTGTCTGTGCTTGTGTGGTACCAGGAGCATAAAGGAGGCAGAATGCATCTGTACAATTACGTGAGCGTGCAGAACCGAGGGAAGGCTATCCACCAGGCTGCTGTCGGTGGTTCCGAGTGCGGAGCAGCGGGGAGGAAGACAGGCAGCAGGAACGACAGCTGGTGTGCTCTCCCTTTCCCTAACTGCCCTTGTAAGGACAGAGCACAAAGCCAGATGCAGACTGCTGCCGTGCACAGAGCACTACAGCTTACAAAATGTAAATGCAGAGCCCTCATGAGCATCGATGTTGTGCACGTGCAGAGGAGGCTCAGTGATGTTACCCGGGCAGCCCCGGGTCACCGGGCTGTCTGGCAATCTGACTCTCAGCCAGTGCTACTTCCACCAAGCCACGTGGCCCCGAAGACAAAGAGCACCTCCCGCCTACAGACAGCACTGCTAACCAACCACCCACTGGCAGCTGGGGGAGAGGCACACAGATAATTAGGGACACCACGGCAGCAGTGATTACCCATCAACCGTGGGAGTACAACTGTTTTCTTTCTTTCCTCTGTAGCGTTTTTCTACCTTGACATTTTTTCTACATGTATATTTGCTACATTTCTTTACATACTCTATGTTATAATTTTGCTACCATGAAAATGATTCCATATGTAGTTATTTTAAAGAAGTGATTTTTACTGAATTATTGATCATGTATTCTTAGTGAAATATTTTAGGAGATCAGAAAATCCAAGTTTTTAGGATAATATGATTAATCAAAAGTTCCATAAGAATATAGAATGCTATAAAATTGTAACATTATATACAATGTTCAAAGAGTTTTGCAAATGATAACTTCCATTTCATAACAGCCTTGGGAGAAAAAAAGGTATAAAATGAGTAACTGAGTGAATTTTAAAGACAGAGAAACCAAGCATTAAGACCTGGTCTACTAAATTTTCTGTGGCTAGCAAGCACCCTTTAAGATACAGTTCCTGCTAAATAAGTTTACCATTTATGAATTATTTTATTTTGTGTAATTTAAACTGCTTCAAAATTTCTAAGTTTTCATTTTTGGATGTTTATTAAATATAAATACAGTTTTGCTTTTATTTACTATCTCAAGAATGGGGGAAGGCACAGTCTTTTTCTGATATATTTTGTTTTAAAGTTTCAAGTTTAAACTGTCATTGAAAACTATAATGAAAGTATATCATAGCATAACTTGCGTTTTTGGGGGTTTTTTTTGTTTCTTTAAGTAAAATCAATTAAGAATTTACTCCGTTAGTGGTGAGATTCTTAGCTGTGGAGAAGAAAACAAACTCATTCTCCTTGGAAAGGTGAAGAAGGGGGCAGAACAATTATACTCACTCACCTCTAGCAGGAAAGGCCCTTGCTCCCTAACACTAACAGACAGCTATCTCTACAAGTCTTTCCTTCCCAGAAGAAGAGATTTTAAGAGAAGAACAGATTTATTGTTGGTATGCAAAATATACATTAATTAATTAAAATGTGTAGTTAACACTGTTGGCAGGCAGTGCATATCCTGTGCTGGCATTTTAATCTTCCTGTTGGATTTAGGACTGTGGAGTTCCCCATACACACACCTCATTCCTATCACTGCCGTCTTCTTCAATATTGTTAAAGAACTTCTCTACCCAGCATGAAGGGCTGCAACCGTAAGATGACGCACTTGCCCAAACCAGGAGGTGCTAGGGGAAATGTTCTAACTGCCGTCTTACCAAGGTACAAACCTGTAACAGGACTGTGTGGCTTTCCTATCACATGGCCAATGCACTCATTCATCAAGGCTTGAAGACTCTAGGCAAATGGGAAAGGACAAGAAAAGAATGTACATTCTCTCAATGATATAAGTAGCACAAATCAAGCTTTCAGTGTATTTAAAAGAAATATGCTATGCTATCCTTAGTAAATACTTTCAAAGTTCATTTAAAAGACAATAGATACAAACAAATTAAACACAAACTGCACATATTTTAAAATAATAAGAATATATGCCATTCAATTTTTATAAATAAAAGCAAATTAGCATTCAACTCCCCATAAGGCAATGATGTGCACAAGCAAGGAACTTCTCCTATAATCATCTCTACTATTTGGAGGCTAACATGATTGAATTCACATGTTGAACATCATCTTTTTGAGCTGATGGAATGTACTGGAATAACAGTGGTAATATTTAACATTTGGCATGCTCTCAAATGACGCATGCTGAAGTGAAACAGCTAATCCTTGTTCTTCATTAAACTGCTAAAAAGCAGTAACTATTAAGTCAGCACTTTATAAAATTTGAAACTGACAAATATTTTAGAAGTACCAGGCTTCAGGGGCGCCTGGGTGGCTCAGATGGTTAAGCGTCTGCCTTCGGCTCAGGTCATGATCCCAGGGTCCTGGGATCGAGTCCCGCATCGGGCTCCCTGCTCCTTGGGAGCCTGTTTCTCCCTCTGCTTTTCTCTCTCTCTCTCTCTCTCTCTCTGTCTCTCGTGAATAAATAAATAAAATCTTTAAAAAAAAAAAAGAAGTACCAGGCTTCATAGATATCCACTGACTTAGTCGGTTGAACAATATTGTTATAAAAACAAAAGAACATGGAATATCTTACTACGTTGTTATGAGTGCTTTAACTTACAGCGTTATCATTACAATTATGAAAAAAATATTTAAGAACAACTATAAAAAAACACACAATCAGGAACAGTGATCAACTTATTTCTTTAATTAAAAAACAAAACAAAACTCTAGAATATTCCATACCAAGAAGTCATCTTCTGGCAAAGCTGAAATGAAGGCAGGTTCAATGGCTTGTAGAAAGTCAAAACCTTGGGTTGCCCACCTGTTACATGAGGAAGTTCAATAATCACAAAACCAAGAAAACGCTGTAGCAGTTTTAGCCTATACAATACTGAAAAGTAATCTGACTGGAAAATTATCATCTAAGAAAAAAACACAATTTTCATCTTTATGTAAATGCCTGGGGTTGAGTAAATTTATAGCATGTTTTGAGAAAAAAGGACAAACAGCTTCTTAATAAAGGAACTGGTTACCAAATTGTTTCCATTTACATTCATAAAAGGCTTAAATTGCATGAGGGAGGGAAAAAAATTAGCAATCAGGAAGACGTGTCCAGGGAGAATATGAGCTCCCCTAAAGTTAACTCATTATGGAACTTCTTAAGTTTTCCAAAAATTATGGGGTTTTCTGTGTTAACAGTTTCATTTAAAAACACAACAAAGCAAAATCCTATCATCAAAGACTTCAAGATGCCCCTTTTTGTGTCATCTGCTCAGCAATCTCACATAAAATATACACATGAAATACTACCATTCCCACATCCCTCTCTTATTCCTGCATTTTCCAGCTTCACAGGCTTCTCCAACATTCTCTCTCTCTCTCTCTCTCTCTGTAGCAGGAGTACTGAGTTACTTGCAGTTCTAGGATACATCTACTTGGTCCTTACCTGGGTCTTGTACCTCGACCACTCTCACATTTAGTTAGGACATAGTTCATCCATTTCCGGGCAAAGCTTATATATTTGTCTCCTATCTTCTGTCTAAACTCTCCAGACATCAAACGAACAACTTCTTTATGATACTGTAAGAAGATTTTGTGTATATCAAAATTAAGAGGAAAGTAATGATTATATAAATATCTAAACACTACCAATGCCACATCTGTTTCATAAAATACCATTTTTCTATAAACAAAAAGCAAAATCCAATTAAAACAGATATTTTCAAGAGTAGGAAGAGTTCAACGATTCATTAGTTGCATATAACACCCAGTGCTCATCGTTGAACATTACAACAAAAACTAATGATGTACTCTACGTTGGCTAATTGAACATAATAAAAAAGAAAAAAGTGTGAAGAGTTAAAGATAATGCAATGTCTTAAAATGCACTTTCACCAATGTTCTACTCGTAAGTTTAAATTACGAATGTACTCTTATGATACTAAACATCTCTTAAAGAAGGTTTTAAAACGGAAGTAGAAAGCTGTTAGCACAAAATAAAAACTGGACAACTATCTGACAATTTAAAAGGAAACCAACATTTCTGATACCCAGCAGCGGGTAAGATGACATTCTTGATTTGCTGTACAAGATTCCTCATACTTTGGTAGGTAAGTTAGAGAGCAACTGTGAGGTTACACTGTGCTTTTCCTCTTCTTTTGTACCTACCTCGAACCCAAAGTTGTAGCCCTGAATCATTGCTTCTCGGTAGTACTGCTGTAACGTGACAGACTCAGATTCATCAACTTCAGCATCAAATTCTGAAGTGAACATGTGGTCCACTCGGTCAATGGCATCACTTATTCTGTTGCAAAGCTCTAGTGCATCATTCTAAAGAGTCCCAAACCATAATTAATCCAAACAAAGCAAATCACCTAATACTTAACTGTATTTTAGAGGAAGATTTCATTTCTTTCATCATCACAGATACTAATCATTGCAATACATTTTGGCCATATTTATTTTGGTCATTCAAAAATAAAGGAAATGTGTTATTTATTTATTTAGTTAGTTTGTTTTTAGCTGTATTAGGTATTCTTTAACATCTTATGAAATACAGGAGGGAAAAAATCCATTTAAAATGATAATGTCTAATTCCTATAAGATGCTTTCATCTTTAATATTTTGCATATCAACCACCAGCTGCTTTTTCCCCCTTGGCAGTTGCTAAAGTATGACTTCAATCGAACAGGATTTCAATCCAACAGGAAGTCTGTATCATCCTTCGTTATCTCCCTGACACTCCCTAGTTCAGGGGTTCTCAGTTGGGGTGTCAGTCAGGGTCAATTTTACCCAAGGGGGCATTTTACCCAAGGGGACATTACCCAAGGGCAATGCCTCTTTTGGTTGTCAAAACTTGTGGAGATAGGGTGTGAAATCTATTGGCATCTAGTGTGTAGAGATCAGAGATGCTGCTAAACATCCTACAAAACAGGACAACTCCCCAAAACAAAGAATTATTGACCCAACACGTCAATATTGCAGAGGTTGGAAAACCTTGTCCTAGTTCATGCTCTGTTGTTTCCCTAAGCAGGACTACAATCACTCCAAATCGGACCCCTTCCTCTCACCCTTCAACACACACGTATGTACATATGGTCTCCATTGGGCTATCCCCCTACAGACTTTTCCAAAATATTCTTCCTAAATATTCAACTACTACTCTCTGAGACTTAGAAAAGATAAAATCCAAAACCTCTCAATAGCCTGATTTTTGCCCACCTGATTTTACCAGCCTTATCTCCCACAACTTTCCACTGTACACACCAAGATCTAGCCAAATCAGACTATTTGATATTCAGCGAGCATTCCCAGTACCCTGACCCAGGGACACTGATGCCCAAATGTTCCTTCCCAGTTTGTATCTTCTGAAATCCTCCAAGCTGAAATGCCTCCATTGTGGCAACTCCAGATGCGACCAGGAGGATCCAATGTCTTCCTGCTCAGGAGGAGAGACGCTCAAGAATTCCTTACGCTCAAGAATAATCAATATCTTATATAATTTTGCACTCTCCAGAGTTCATTGGCTCAAACTAAAAGAAAAGAAAAAGTGCCCTGCACTGGCATTCGAGTGGGATGGCAATCGATGAGAGAACGTGTTTCTAGGTGAATGAGACAAGTCAGACTCACAGAAGAAACAAATGCTTATCAAACTACTTATAGTTTCAAGAAGTGCTTCTTCTTCAAGAAGTCAAGCCTTAATGTGACGAAGAGGGCATAACTGATGGCCCGTGGAAAAGCATGGATCAGACCAAGACTGATGAACGGAAGACAAGGTAGAGGTGGTAAAAACAGGAAATAATGAGAAAAGAAGGTGAGGCTCTGGCTTGACCTGAACTCCGAAGGCCTAATGCCTGTCTACAACCGGCTTTCTCTACTGCATTTAATTTGGCTGAATTATCAGTTAAATAAAAGAAGAAACAAGTCTTCTTTTAGGTTACACATTACTGATTTGGAGTAGCTCTAGCAAATACTCGTAATTGCTAAAGAAGAAAGAAACCTGGATTAGGAGTGAAGAGACCTAAATTCCAGTATCAACTTGGCTACTAACCAACCATGTGGCCATTCAGAAGTCACATAACTGGTCAAATTTCTATCCCTTCCAATTCCAACATTCTATGGTTCCAAGAAAGATCTGGGAGGTTTTAGTGAAGACATGGGACAATGGGAACCGGGAAGAGGGAGAACAGTAAGGACCACGTAAGACTTCAGGTCCCTCGGGTGGGATGACACTGTCGCACACAGATGCCTCCAGAGTGTCACCTCCACACACAAATCAAGGGGCTCAGGCGGAGGTGGCGGTGACATACCTTTAGCTGCTGCAAAGCTCTGGCGATGACCGGCTGACTGGACGTCTGCTCCTGGCGGAGAGTCATGAGTCCCTCGATGGACTGCTGGAAAGCTTTTCTCTGGCTGGTGAGATGCGCAGACTGCATGACCACTAGTAAAAGATGATCCACCTGGGAGGAGAATCAAGCACAGGGCTTAAAAACAGACCCACTCACCGTTTCCCATTCTAGGTCAACCCCTAGTCCAAAAACAATGGCAAACTCGTCAGGGCCACCAGGCCAGTAAGCCCCAGATCAGAAAGCAGTTTTCAAGCAGAGCTACTCCCTGCCACGGGAGCCACAGACCGCAGTGGGCGCTACTGTCTGAGGTCTTCCAAACAACGCTGAAGAATCCCATGGAACTGTGCAGACATGGGGTCTCTGAGACATCCTAGAACTGCAAGTAACTCAGACTCCTACAGCAGTGTGCGTGTGAGTGTGTGTGTGTGTGAGCAGTCTGTGAGGCTGGAAAATGCAGGAATAAAACAAGGTGAGAGGAGTGGCCTTCCATGAAACAGACAAAATCAAGAATTTAGTATCTTTTTAAGTGACAGAGTCACTGCAGTATTTTGCATAGAAGTGTGTGTGATATGACCAGAGTTACATATTATAATGATCATTCTCAAAGCACCCAAACAAACACACACACAGACCTGGAGGAGGGAAGGTGAGGCTGGAAGCAGGGAAACTAAAATTGAGACAGTGCACTAGGCCAGGAGCCAGATGACAAAGTGTGACCACGGCAGGGGCTCTGGGCTGCAGACAAAGTGTCATTGACTGGAAATGCTCCGGGTGTGTTAGGGCTGCGGACGAACTGGAAGGGTAAAAGGATGAGTTTATATTAACTGTCACATTCTGGTTTCAACAACTGAGTGGCCAGAGCACCACTCGCTGAGACAGGGAACATGAGCGGAAGAGCAGGTGGCGTGGACTCAAGAGCACAGTCAGCCAGTGCGTTCAATGCTGGCCAGGCTGAGTCTGAGGTGCATGCGAGCATTCACCACCACTGTCCCGATGTCAACAGAGAGAACGTGAAGAGGCTTCTTACGGGTTTTAATTGAGTTATACAAATCATCACGGGATCCCTGCCGGGTGAGTAGGTAATAGCCTCTACTACAAAAATGTTAACTAACAGCAAGTAAACCAGAGTACCTGAAGAAGCAGAATTTCTGAATTACAAATTAAATGAGGGAGATAATTCCTTTTCGATCATGAGCATACAGATCACGACTGAACTAAGATACAAATATTTCAAATATTCCAGGATAATTTAACATACTTACAGAATTTGAAGGAATATCTTAGTACAACTTGTGATACAGAATGTTTAAAACAGGGAGGCATACTTTGGGGGAGTCTACAGTTGAGACGACTATGGCGGTTAAAGCAGTCATTCAGAAGCTGCTAATAACTTCCTTTTCCTAAAACTATTTTAAGTAAATACTACTGCTCCAAGGCAGGGGTGGGAGTAGTGGACATGGGACCTGGGGGTGACACACACCTGCATGCTTCTCAGGGTGTCAACAGTCTCGGCCTGAGGCACAATTCTGACGGGCGGTGCCTCCCACGTGGCCCAGCTATCTTCCGAGTCCCGAGCGCCATCGCGGCGCTTGGTTAGCAGGAGATAGGCGTCGATCAGGACATCATCTGACTCTTTAGAGCAGTCCTTTCCCGCGGCTGCGTGGAGTAGCTGCAAAATAATGCTCTTCTCCGCAGCAAGAGTGTCTGGAACAAACACCTGCAAGTTTTCTAAGCCAGGAATCTGTACCTGCAGAAGAAACGACCCAAAGTCTGAGATGAGGGAATGTCACATGTTACAAAAATTTAATTAAAATACATAAAACTAGAAAAAGACAAGCAGGTGTGGGAAGGCCAGCACTGAGGGCATTGCAAGGGGCCCAGCCCCATGTGACTGGGGGAGGATGCGGAGGGGCACGGGAGCGCTGTGCTGGAGGCCTGGGAAGGCTTCTCCACTCACTGGGCATCCTCCAGCTGCTTTATTTTCAAGAAGCAAGAAAACACCCTTTAGGGGAGGAACTGCAGCCTGAAACAACCTCAACTGATGCTACTTTGTGATGCTTACAGAAAGTCACCTGACTCGGTAAAAAGGCAAAAAATGTTAACACAGATTCACTAATCATTCTTGGTGGGGGCATCACAAGAAGCCTTTTAAAGATCATTTTAATAAGGAACACATATGTGATACTGTTGTGCAAATCACAAACAACTGCAGGTGGGATAAAACTGTGGGCCTGGGATAAAATTTCCAGTAACAATATCATACACAGAATCTATAAGTACTAAGTCTCAAACAACTTAAATGGTAGTAAAGATGAGGACTCCAAAAGGGGCTCCAGTGACGAGTCGGGCACTGATGGCCAAAGTTCCTGTAAAAAAATCTGAACTGTTTCAGAAAATGTGAGGGTAAAAACAAAACGACGACTTAAAAATCAATTATTAGGGGCGCCTGGAGGGCTCAGTGGTTAAGCGTCTGCCTTCAGCCCAGGTCATGATCCCGGGCTCCTGGGATGGAGCCCCGCAGCGGCTCCCTGCTTCTCCTTCTCCCTCTACCCCTCCCCCACCCAGGTGCACATGTGCACGCTCTCCCTCCCTCTCAAATGAATAAAATCTTCAAAAAAATCAATTATTATTTTATTATTTTACATTACTATTTTAGATACATTATTTTAAATACATGTGTAACTAATTTTAATAAATAGTATGAATAAATATTTGGTTATTTTATCTGTATTCTAAAAGCAAGTTAGTATGAAAAACTTTGTTTTTCTGCTTATTTCATTGAGAAATTATGAGAAAGTCTTATTACTGGGATCAATATATAGCCAGCAAAGCCTAAAATATTTACTATCTGGACCACGAAGAGAAGAGAAAAACAGGAAAGGCAAAATATTCCAATTACACCATCTTTAATATTTACCTTAACATACTGTTTTGATTTCAGAACATCCAGAAGGTCTCTAACTGGGGCTGAAAGTATGAACTCTGCTGCTATTTCCAGGTCCTAGGATCACAGTTACAAAGAAACTTCTTTAGGGTTAGCTTTAAAAAAAAATAAGGTAAAATAAAAACTTTAAAAAATCAATTGGGATTGTTAACTCACCTTTCTCAACATTTTAGCAAATCCAAGTGCCTTGGAGGCTCTTTCTCTAGCTTCGTGAAAGAGTTCCTTCAGTGCTCGACTAATCTCTATAACAGATCTCCTGCCAAGTTGATTGAAATCCAGTTAGAGTACATTAGAGTACATCAAGAAATAAACAGCAATAAAGATGAAGCAAATTGGATAAATGGGAACAAGCAATTATGGAGAATGTACTTGAAATACTCAGAAGCTTGCTCTCTTGTGGTTTTCCAGAAAGTGCTTGTATTCTTCAAATAAATAAGGCACATACAATAACCTTCAAATAACAGTAAGCTTGATTTTCTAAAGATTTCCCCATAATAACTTCTTGGAGTTTGAGATAAAGTTCTTACATTGACTCCCAGCTCAGGATCTTACTAAAAAGGAATATATCCGTGCAGTGGTGGGCTGCTGACTGTTTACCAACTGGCTCCCCTCAAAGAACTGCCTTATGTGGTGTTTGGAGATTTCTGTGGTGTAAATACTCGCATCATCGCTGCCCGCAGGCCCCCAGTGTGACAGCACTGAGCGCTGACTAGAGAAGAGATGTGTGCGGTTGCCCCTCGGCTCACTGGGGCCAGGAGGAGCCAGCCCCATCACACTGCCCACGAGCCCACCGCTAGCAAACAACCAGAGCATCATCAGGGCCATTCTCCAGTTCCCCATCTTAGATCTCCAATTCTCCCTGCTTATCCGGAATTCACCACGTTGGCTCTCAGAACTGCAGGACCTTCTACAAACTGACTCATTCTGACTCTCGGCTATTCAGCACTGTCCCAGGTAAGAATCTGTGTGGATACATCTTGCTTTAACCCTGGCATGATGATATCTCAGGTGTTCTGAAACCCAAAATGTGTTTCTCATCAAATTTTGGATGGTGAGAGAAAACATTTCAGCTCTAGAGAAGTCAGCTCCCCCTGAGCATTTCCTAAGGTTGAATCATATGATATTGCTCGTAATTGGCCACAAAATAGCTGTATGGCTGATATTGGCACAAAAACAGCAATTTAACCTGGTCCAACCTGAACACTATCTCATGGAAGTAGAGGAAATGCAATAGATGCGTAAGCCATTGTTTCACGTACTCAAGCTTAAAGTTGAACAGAAGGAATAAGCCATACATAAAAACGATAACAATGTGCCAAGTGTCAATTAAATGTATTAATGGACTGCTACGGAGGTGGGGGCGAGACAGAAACATAATTATTTAATTAGACACATTCTAGGACACAGGGATGAATTCTCTCTACTCATTTTTAGTCAACTTACACTCTCTCTCCCTTTCTCTAAAGACACTATTTTCATTAGGCTAATTAAATTCTAAGTTCACCTTCCAAGAAAATTTCACAGAAAATCCTAAGCAAGCACACGAAAAGATAAGACAGTAATAAATAGAAGTCTTTAGGTCTACTATGGTAGACCTCTACTAAGGTCCAACGTGGGTCGGTTTGAACAGGGCCCATTCTAGACTCATCGCCACAAGCAGAACTCTGCGAAGTAAGGAATGGGAAGTAAAGGAGTGGGGCCGCACCTGATTTCATCTGAGGCATTGCTGTCGTCAGCGCTGGTCCAGAACTCTGCACAGCTCTCCTGCAAGCCGAACTCTAAAAAACTTCCAGTCGACTTCAGTAGCATCCCCGCGATGTCACTAGGGAACAAGAACATGAAAGTAAACCAGGGAAGAAAAACTATCCTCACTCATTCTAATTCTTGAATAAGACACTGAAAGGGTCATCTACTGTTTTAATAGTTTGAAAATCAACAATAGTGAGAATTTTTCTTTACTATAAAATCATGAATGTGAAAAAGAGGAACTCTCCCATATACGGGCAAGTATCTATCTTTGTTCTATTTCCATGGTTTTATCATAGACCTTAAAACCTTAAATTATATTCAGAGCAGCTATGTAATTATCATATAAGTGTATTTTCATCTTAAATGTCCAAAATGGTATAAAATGGCCCCAAATATATATCTAAGACAAGCTGTTTTTAAAAGCTTAATAAACTAAATGATGGAAGAAGAAAACAAAATGAATTTCTTAAATGCAACTGTTTTTACAAATTTCCCTCACAATTAGCTTTTCATCATCCACCCACATGAAACGTTCCCTACGGCCGATGCTTCTCGTTGAGTACACAATCTAAATGCTAGGGTTAAAATGTAAACCCGAGTGTACAAAACAAATCTAAATGAGTGTAGTAAAGATTCAGCAGCAGCTTACTGACCTCTTCACTGAAGGAAAGGAGCTTCTAGCTAGTCAAAGAGAGCAGGTAAGCACAACAACGGTGTTGGAGGACTCGTCAGAGGAGAGAGACCAAACCCAGCCAAAGGGCTGGCTGTACTGGGCCTGCAGGCAATGCAGAAAGGAACCCAGAGATCAGCAATGGGAAGAGAGGCTCTGGCAGGAAGGGAATGGAGGAGGGGAAGGAAAGTCCAGGAAGAACAATGAATATGATCAAAAGGCATGAAGATGTGTTAAGCAAGAGGCCTGGTTGTGAAAAGAAATTGCACAATGTGAAAGGAGCAGAGAGGTAGTGGAATAAGACCGAGAAAGTACGCTGGGGCCACGCGGTGGAAGGCCTTGCGTGTCATGCTAACTGCCTGACCTCCGTCCGGTGGGCGAAGAGGCCGGGCTTTAAAAGTAACTGAGTGGGAAAGTGACCTGATTACAAACCCATTTTCAAGAACAATAGTGTACAAGGATATCCATGAAGGGTTTACTCCACAAATACTGAGTATTGGTTATGTACTAAGCAGCAGGGAGCAGAACATAAAAATCCCTCCAGTGAACAGAAAAAACAAGAAATAAAAAAGGAAAAGATATAGTTCAGATATTGTTAAGTGCTATGGAGAGAAATAAAACAGGAAAGGGAACTCAGAAGTGCTCGTGAGTAGGAATTTCCATGTTAAATATGGGGAAGATGACGTTAAGACAAAGACCTCAAGGGAGTGCAAAATGGGTCATGAAAGTAATTGGGGAAGAGCAGTCTAACAGAGGGACCACCAAGTGCGAAGGCCCCAAGGCAGGAGCGTGCCCCGCCTGGGAACACAATCAAGGGTCACTACAGCTGTGCAGAATGTCCAGGAGAGCCAGGGAGGGGAAGAGCACAGAGAGTTAGTGACAAGTCAGACTGTGCCTGGCCTGAGGGGCCATGTTCAGGAGCTCTGGTTTTCACTGAGGAAGCAGGGAAGCTGTGGAGTATTTGGAACAGAGGAAAAAATGGTCTGAGGTGCATGTGAACGAGGTCACTGGCTGTGGTGTTGAGAACAGACCAAAGGGACGAAGAGCTGAGCAGAGACTCCTGGAGAGCGCCTGCAGTCATGTGAGAAGTAACAGCCTGGGAAGAGCGGCAACGGGAAGTGGTGCATAGGGGTCAAATTCTGGATCTTTCCTGAAGGATCAGAGGTAGTGTGTGAGACAAAGAAAGCAATTAGGGATCACTGGGAGGCTGATGGAGCCTGGGTGGAACAGCATGTGAAGGAGACAGGTGCTGTGCTCGGCTCGGCCGAGCGAGAGCCACACCAGGGGCCAGTCCCTCAGCGGGGCGTGGAAAGCTCGGGAGCTGCTCAGAGCAAGGCTGGTGCAGGCCAAGGCCAGAGCCCCCACCGCTCGACCTGAAGGACGAGCAACAGACAGAAACAGGGAGACTGACAGGAGGAAAAGGGGATGCGGTGAAATCCCATCACTTGAATTTGTAGCGGAAATGAACAGTGACCTTTAAAACAATCTCTTCTGCAGGCGGGCCAGCCTGGAGACAGAAAGTGCTAACAGAATAAACGGCAGGCCAAGCCGAACAACAGGAGATTGAGAGAAGGCAAGATGCTGAAATGGGCAGGGAAGGCACTTCTTCAGAAGGCTGACTCCGGGAAGCAACCTGAACAGGAAAGGCAGATGCATGGGGAGTCAGGGCCTGAAGGGCTGGAGAGGTCTGGGAAAGAGCAAGCTCACAGCTCACTGGAAACACAGGCGGAGAGGACGCGACAAGGACATGAAGAAGATGGGTGGTTAGGGCAGAAGGGGGAGCCTAGGTCCTGAGCAGGGGACAGAGATGGCGGAGTCGACGACAATGCGCCTCTGCAGCTGGAAAAGAGCCAGGCAAGCAGAGGCCCTGGAAAATACACACGAGGGAGGGAAAGCTGCTCCAGGCCAGGTGCGAGGGATGCACAGAAAGGAGACAGAACTACACTGGCGGATGAGGCAGCAACCACCGACGACAGCCGAGGGGTCAGGCGGCGGGGAGGGGCACCCCACCATCAGCGTTCAGCTCCCCAGTAAGAGACGGCCATTTCCAAACACACACCAGTGACCACACTCCCCTCCCTCAGGGTTTTCCTCTGTTTACGTTTCTAACCTGTGCCTCATAAGGAGATTCCGTGATTAGCAGAACACACTAAAACAATCTCGGGAAATGCACACCTTGGGTTCCCCATGTCCCCACACCAAGACTACAGGCCTGTTCTACTCTTCGGAGGCCTAAGAGAGTTGACACTAAGGCAGGGTTTCTCAACTTCCAAACTGACATTTTGGGTGGATAATGTTTGGTTTGGGGGGCTGTCCTGTGCATTGCATGATGTTTAGCTGTGTCCTTGTCCTCTAATCAGTCGGACCTCCCAGTCATCACAATCAAAACTGTTTCCAGACATTGCCAAATGTCCCCACAGGGCAACCCGCCCCCCCTACTGAGCACCCTCGCTCAAAGGACCCCAAAACCTGGGGGAGAGGCACACACACACACACACAGGACTGGCTGTCATGTGCACATAACTGAACAGGCAAACGGGCCAGCAGGCGCACTCAGGAGCATAAGGGTTCCTACCAGAAAAGTTTCCCAGCCTGTGCTTCTCCTCCCCGGATGTAATGGGTTATTTCTTTGGTGAAATTCCATTCTTCTTCTAACAGGTTTTTTAGACTATGGGATGCTTGAGGTAACTGCTGCAGCATTTGGATCCAGCTTCTCATGTAATCAAAATACACCTTAAAATACAAAAACATAAAGGGAGATATTTGAGAATGGAACTCAGCAGCTCTCAGCTTTCACCTCTGTTAACCTGGAAGCTACAAATTAGAAGGGCCAGGTGGAGGGGGACCCTGAGTACACAGCACAGAGAGAAGCAAGATCTTCATCACAGGACTGCTGTCCAAATGGAGATGTCTCTTAAACTGCACAACTCAACTCCCCGGCAACCTAACACATTATTTACAATCTCTTTAAATTACCAACAAAATAAAATGTTCACCATGTACACAGAAGTAAAAAAAGAATCAAAATAATAGCACCCAGAAATGTTCATTATTAATATATTGTGAACATTATTCCTTTAAGAAGTTGGGATTCTTACTTGTCTAACTGCTTATTTTAACTTCAGACAGTATCTTCCGTGTTGAGAGGGAATGAACACACTTTTCCCCACCATCCATTCCTGACACCCAGATTTCTATGACACAGTTTTTTTCAAGATTTATGACATATAAATTATGATTTCTAATCAAAATACCCAGTTTTTCTGAAGTGGGGTTTATGTCCACCACAAGTCCTACAACAACAGCCTTCCCATTCCTAACTCCTTATTTTGATATATCTGCTGCTTACTAGAGGGTTTCACTATCCATCAGCTTTTCTCAAGATAGGGTCCCAACTGCTAGATTACAAACCCTCACTGCCTATGGATTCTTTTACCAAAAGGACAACTCGAATGAGTATGAAATACCTGAGTTATACATTCTCTGCCCCGGGACGTTGAAGGCATTACTCCTCCACCACTTTTGAACGCTGCATGTTGTTCAAACGAAGAGCCCTGACGCTGGCCCCATCTCCCGCTGTCCCCACTCCCCTCACACCTGGAGCTGCCTTGCTTTTTTCTCTGCTCGGAGGTTCACAGGATTCTGTATTTAGTCTCAGATCTCAGTTACCTCCCCAGGCTACGTCTCAGGGTTTGCTGGAATGAATACTTTCTGAAATCCAGTACTAATTTTCAGTAGGCAAACTGCAAGTCTGTATTTCAAGAAAACTATCTTCTGTTGTGTCTTTGGATGCTTCTGGGCCTCCAGCAGCCAGGCTGTGTGGTGGGAATCTGCAGTCCGGGTCCCTTATGAACACCAGTGTCCGAGTATGTGGAACCTACAGTTTTGCCATCTTTACCAAATGAAATAAATCTCTTAAATATGAGACCAGGACCGTCCTCTGGCTTCTCGGAGTGCTGCTTCCTCTCCCTTAAATCTGGCTGTCTCCTGAGGGTGGCCCTTCTCTCATACAGCCCTGCCACGGGGCGCCTGTATGACCCCGGACTTCACGGGCTACAAACAGTTTGCATCGTCCTGTGCATCACTGAGCCTTTCAAACCACTGCTCTTACGGTCTTATTTAAAACCAAAACAAAAAAGAAACACCTGCCCCTTTAAGATTTGAGTCATCAGATACACCATCGAACCCTTTCTTCATAGTGTCCCCTACTGATTTCCAACTGCCCGTCATCCTTCGTCACACACTCTGACATCTGACATCGTCTTCCCTCCGCCCCAGGCTCAGCCACCACACTGTGCTTCACCCCAGATCTTATCATTACGGAATCATCTCTAGGCCTCAAATCATCAATCCAAATAGGCTGATTCTAAAACCTCCTCCCCTCCATCCAGTTTTCTGTTCAACTAGCACCCCTGTGACTGTTCTCTTATTTAATCCTTACCTGAACTCCAGTGCACCGTTTTCTCTTCTCTCTCCAGCTCACTCCCCCTTGTTCCGCCCCCTTTCCTCCTTATTCGGCTTAGAGCCAACACGGTCACGCTCCCCATGCCACTGCGGCCACCACCCCACACCCTGCCACCTCTCCCTTCCTTTTCAGCTCACCTGCCTGCGAAACCCCAAAGCACGATGAGCCTGACGAGCCCGTGCCCCATGCCCGCACTCAGGAAGCTGAGGGTCACGAGTGTCAGGGGACCGGGAGGAGCCACTGCTCTGTATGTCGTCCCAACCACATGGTGTACGGTCTGGTAATATTCGTATCTCCACCCAAGCCATTCTCCTTCTCCCTACAAGCACAGTCTGAAACTCCGCCATTTTTGTCAAATGGCCAATGCCCACCCTCACACATCTCATCCCTCCTAGCGAAGAAAAAAAGGCATTAGATATAAAACCCCTCATCTTCTCAATACCAAAAATGCACACCCACATGTGACATGCCGTCCTCCCCTTCCTAGCGGTGGCCAAGTGAAGCTTACACTTGTATTTGGAGACCCACCTCCTCATGGCATCTGAGGAAGCTCGCACTATCGATTTCCCTCTTCTCTGATATGCATAGAATTCTGTCCATCTCTTTCCCTTAACAAAATCAGTCCCAAAGGCTTTCAAATGGTCTCTAGTAACTTCAATTTAAAAACTCTCCCTGGACCCACAGTCTTCACTATGAACCCCACTGCAAGAACCAGGCCTCAGCGGGAACCCCAGCTGTGCATGTCTCGGCCCTCCCTTTTGCTTCCCTCCCTCCTGCTTCTCGGCCCCTCCCTCTTGCTTCCCTCCCTCCTGCTTCTCGGCCCCTCCCTCTTGCTTCCCTCCCTCCTGCTTCTCGGCCCCTCCCTCTTGCTTCCCTCCCTCCTGCTTCTCGGCCCCTCCCTCTTCCACAACTGCCACATCTTGTTCATCAGTTTCATATTTTCATCCCTCTTAAATTCTTTTTATGTGGTTTCCTTAAATCGATCACATGTTCCTACATCTCTATCTAGTTTACTGTTTTGGTTATTTCTAAGGCCAGGGCCAGAGAAATGAGCTAAAACAGCTGATAGCTTCAAAGTGATTTGTTGCCTCAAGCAAATGCTCACCAAGTCACGTCCCTGCACCTGCACACGTATGTGCTTAGGTTTCCCTAGTCAGGATGATGATGTAACACAGAGTAAAGCCCCCAAGTCACAGAGATTCTGCATCAGGACCTGCTGACTGCGGCTCCCCCTCACCCCGCAAAGCTCACATTCGGCGGCCCTCCTCAGCCGGCAGGACACACTCGGACAGCAGAGTTGTCTCCACTTCTGTTCCCCTGTCTTGCAGATCTGCCGCTGACAAGTCCTCTACAGGGACTCCTCCTGCTTCTCTCCTGACCGTTCACACCCCAGATATCCCAGCTCTAATGAAGCACTGGCTGGGAGATACTTAGAGCTTGTGCCCACCCTCATTTTAGCCCAAATTTCAAAGTAAGTGATTGTAACAGTTTTCTGGAAGCAAGGAGAGGAGAGCAGTGTAGTCAATTTCCTCCTTTACTGAACATGGAATTTCGTTCTTTACTCTTCCTTCTTTTCGCTGATTTTTGGTGAGGTTCCTGAGAAGGGTGTTGTGGTACACATAATGTGACAGACCATTCAAAGGCCAATCTCTCCCTCCTTCCTAACAAAAACACCGATTTTGTTTGGGTTCCCCCAGTTTTCAAAACATGCCTCTGCCATTAGCCATTGAGCATACTTTGAGGCACAATTTTAAAAATCACTGGTAATTTCTAGCTCTTCATCTGCGAAATTACAGAGATGAAACTAAGGGAGATCTGGCCCCACATGGATCACTCGTAGCAAAACCAAGACTAAATCCTAAGTACTTGTAGCTCTAAGGAGTAACTTACTTGCCCTCCACTTCAGATGGCCCACAGGAACACCACGGACACCGAAGCTGACTGACCTGGAGAACACGGTTCACCTGCCTCATTCTCTTCCTTCCTGCCCCAGTGCCTGTACGCTAAAGGGTGCTGTGCGTGCCTTTGTAAAACCACCAAAGACAGTTTGGAAAGCAAAGCACTTTTTGGCTTTTTAAGCTCCTGCTTTAACCATCCAGAGAGAGAGAGAGAGAAAATAATTTGCTTTTGCTTTTTAACCATGACTTTTCAATGGTAACAACTTTTCTGACCTAAGAAATATATACTATTTCAGAATGTAGCCACATTTTACACACTCTGGTCTTTTATGCGTGCTCCCGAAATAATTAGGAAATAATTTCAAACTCAAAACTATTTCTTGCGATATGCCAGATATTATAAGTCCCCTTCGTACCGTTCTTCTTTCTATCCTTCTACGATAGAGGCTGGAAAGCTAAATACTTGCAGCCCCAGCCTCCACGACAGTCAAGAGGCAGGCAACAGGTTTGGCCATATGACACAGTGAAAATCTGTCGGCTGTGGCTTCCAGGAGAGCTTCGCTGCTCTGGACTGAGCTGGCAAGGATACTTTTTCCCTTTTTTCCCTTTTCCTTTCTTCTAGCCTAGAAAGTGGGGGTGGTATCTGGAGGTGCTGCAGCCATCCCGAGGCAAGATACAGTGAGATGTCCCACAAAACATGTCTTGAAAACATTACAGAACAATATACCCAAAGCATGGTCATTTTTATATTGTTTCACTGACTTGCCACATGACAGAATCATCTGTGCATATACTCTAATGAATCCAACCTGTATCCGTTATACACTAATACCCCACCAGAAAGTATGGAAGACCAGACCACTTCAAGCCATAGCCCCTGGCTTACGAAGCTTTCGGGCTAGTCGGGGAACGCCGAGAGCAGAGCAGCAGATCACTGAGTCCGCAAGGGCACGGCGCCGATCGTAACTGCTGAGACGGTGCAGAGGAGGTAGAGGTAAATGCACGTTAAAGGTTGAAGTTGTCACATAGGGCTTTCTAGAGAAAAGTAAAACTTGCGAGTAAGTCTTAAATGAGTGGATAAGGAAAAGGGACATGTCTACCAGGAGGGAATAACAGGAGCAAAAGGACAGAGGTTAGAAAGCACCAGTAAGCACACCACCTATGGTGTGAGAAGCCTGGGGAGCTCCTCTTGGGAAGAAATCAAAGTAAGTCTGCTCCTGCCAAATCACAGTATTTACAATTCCTTGGATGTGCGTGGTTCCTCAGCTAACTCTTGACTCAGGGTAAGAGCTCCCACATGTCCTCAGGCTAGTTGAGAGGACCTGTCCCCAAGTCGTCCCTGCACCTCAGCAGAATTCCGCCCTGGCACCCAGCACTCAGGGGGCAAGTACCGCCTATGCCCAGGTCCCAGCAGAAGAGGAGCCTCTTACTGTCCACTCCTGCCTTCCCAGCCCGAGCGCGGGCACGCGATACAGAAATGGCTGATGCCAGACGGCTGGATAAAATAGGACTGGACTATAGTTCCATTTCTGGGCCATTCTGCTATAAGATGAAGAGTCTTAGAGTTAAACAATGAACTAGGGTAAGCTTTGTCAAAAATTCTAACGCAAAACCATTGCGGATTTGTTAAAATGTGGATTTGGGAGAAACAAATTTAATCCAATACTAGATGAAAAAGTCAGGCTTGGGCGCCTGGGTGGCTCAGTTGGTTAAGCGACTGCCTTCGGCTCAGGTCATGATCCTGGAGTCCCGGGATCGAGTCCCGCATCGGGCTCCCTGCTCGGCGGGGAGTCTGCTTCTCCCTCTGACCCTCCTCCCTCTCACGCTCTCTGTCTCTCATTCTCTCTCTCAAATAAATAAATAAAATCTTTAAAAAAGAAAAAAAAAAAAAAAAGAAGAAAAAGTCAGGCTGAAGACTGCCGTCCCCCTTCCCACGCTTGCTTGCTCGCTCGCTCTCTCACACACACAGACGGGCACGCACGCTCCAGCACCCTCCCCTGCCCCCGGGCCTCACCATCAGCATTTTGTGCAGGTCCTCCTCGAAGGCGTCGATGTTGCAGTCGGTCTTGTCCAGGCGGTCCAGCACCTCGTGCAGCATGAATTGGTAGTACTGCTTCATCAGCAGGCCGCCCTTGAGCACCTCTTTGCACTCCCTCACCAGCTGCAGGGGCACAAGCTCTGTCACTCCACACACCCTCACTGCACGCCCTCCTCCTCCTCAAAACCTCTCAAAGTCCTAAAATATTTTCCAATTCCTTACCAGTTCACTTTATATAACCATTTTAGTAGTCTTGATCAAAAATTAAAGAGTGAAAATAAAAGTGATTAGGATTATCGTATGAATACACACAGAAATTATCATACAGGCAAACATTGATTTGTGAAACTATATTCCCCTACAAAAACATTTATGTAGAAAATAAACCCCACAGAAAAAGATCTATTTTTCTACCAGGGATAGGAGAGAAAAATCCCCTAATGGAACTGATGATTTTTATCCAAAAACGTAATAGAGATTCAAATATACTCACATGCCACAGAGCATGACAATCTTTGTAATAATTTAGCATAGCAACTACTGTGATTTGTGGCCTTTACTACCAAAAGCCTCTAATCATCACAAAAATCAAACCTAAGCTCAATTTGATGAAATGAGACGGAAGTCAAGGGAAAACAAATCTAAACAAAAAGCTGAGTGCCACGGCCATGGGCAGGCCCAGCAGGTAATGCTGGAAAGGTGGGGGAGGCTGACATGGGATGACTGACCTTAAAGTCTTTTCATCATAATAATTATCATGTATTACCATAATATTATTTAAAATGATGGGGATTAAATAAATTATGATGTACCTACACAGCAGAGCACTCCTGCAGCCATTTAAAATCTAGTTTTTGAAAAATATTTAAGGGTAAAAACTCGTATTTTTTTCTTTTACTTGTATGTGTAGGAAAAACAGATGGATAAAAACATACCAAAGTAGTTACAGTGGTTATCTCTGACTGGCAGCATGATAGGATAATTTTCATTTTTTCTGTATCATTTTCTGTACCTTTCAAATATTCTACAATAAATATGGATTGCTTTTATAAACATAATTTCCCCCTTTAAAATGGTCTAAAAATAATTACCCACGGTAAGAGAGCCATGGCTAGAGTTAAATCTATCAAAAGCTATTCTGTTCAGATGTAAATTTCTCTGTTAAAGATGTCACTTAGGTGCTTATAATCAAATCTTTGAATAATTTTAGCCAAAATTTGTTTTATTTTGATTCTAGTAATGCTACATTCATCTAAGTATTGTTTTTATTTTTTTAAATATTTTAACATAAATTCCTGTTTCATCCTCACAATAGCTCCCTTGGCAAAAAGTAAACTCTGCCTTGTCTTACCAGGTTATATTCCTGAAGTATTCATTTTGTGAGAAAGGGAAATCAGTATTTTACCCAAACTTCCTAAATTACCACTGCAATCAGGTGGACAAGTGAGAAGCAAGGCCACAGTGGATGACAGGACAATAACCAGAAGCAAGGTGGTGAGCAGCAGGGCGCATGAGGAAGCAGCGCTCTCTGGTCAGTGCTGGACAGAAACTGAAGCGAGGACAATGAGGTCCACGAGTCACCCCCTCTCCCAGCTAAACCAACAAATTCAAGTCCTGTTCTGTGCCTATCGTATGGCTTGTGTTTGTCCCCAGGTGCCATTGGTCATCCTGAGCCAATGAGCTCCTAGCCCTTCCATCCTGAGGGGATGGACATGCACAGTTGACAAAAACACACCTTTTTCTTTCTTTCTTTTTTTTTTTTTTTCAAAACCTGACATGTTTATTTTGCATAGTGGATGTGGAAATACCATAAAGTACAAATACATTCGGCAGCATTCACTGTGCTAGATACAACCGCTTCCACCCATTCCTGTTACCTCTGGAGTATCAGACTCGCCTAGAGAATCCCATCCAAAATGAACGAAAACCAAGAAAACAGCAGCTGTCATTACTATTTAATCCATGCAACCGACTAAGCAAGCAAAAAGTCCAAACATCTCTCTACTGCATACTCTAAAGACATTTATCTGTTCCCATGTAGCTTAAACAGAACAAAAATAAATAAATTTAAGGAACTTAAACTACTTCTAATGAGTGAATTTTAAGTTTCCAGCCTCCAAAGACTGATGTTAACAGACTATGTCATTTCATCACTGTACTTTTATATCCTTTCGGAATGAGGAAGTGATGGCAGAAAGGTTGAACCACAATCTTATCTTTGAGACTACATGCAAAGAACATTTTAAATTACCCTAAAAAGAGCAGCTTAAAAACACTAACATACACTCAAATTTTTCACTACTCGCAACAATTAAAAAAAAAAATCCTCAATCCAAAATAAAAACAAGCCTACAGAATAGCACAGTAACTGCTAAATATTTTTAAACAGTCGTTGAAACAGACCTGCTTAATACTCAAGAGAGATGGTTCCCCAGCAGGCCTCTGTTCCAGTCTTAACTTCAGACACTCATGTATCACGTTCAGAAGGACTCGACAGAGCACCAGGAAGGCAGGCTCGAAGGAGGGTAAGTCCATGGACTTCAGCTCGTCCCACGACACAGTGCTGCACTTCTGCTCTGAGGAAGGTGGTGTCCTGGATAACTGCACATAATCGGAACCCCACATGGGGTCTGGAAATTCGGAAAACTATAACAAAAATTCAACAAAGGTTAAAAGAGCATACAAAAGAATGTCCTAAGGTCGTGGTTATAAACTATTATTCTCTATAGTTTGCTGATGATCTCAAAATCACAATTTTTCAGGTAAAATAATCTTTAGAATAATTCAACATTTTCAACATAGACCCAAAAGTTCTAAAAGTAATAGAAAATCATAACAAGGACACCAAATTATAATATTTTTATCAAAAAAGCATAGTAGAAAAAGAATCAAGTTCATCATTTGCATCAAACATTTTATCATCATACTTAAAATGATTAGAACACTTTATTTTTAAGGTTCTATATAGCATTATCCACAACTATCTCCAGACTGAGAAAACCAGAAATTACTGAAATTTGAGAAAAGATTACAAAATCAGGGAGACATTTATGTAAACATAAAAACTAGTTGGTTCAACCAATTCTTCTGTCCGTTGCTCTCTTGAGCTACACCAAATGATGCTGATAGAAAACAATTCATAAAATTGAACTGGCTGGTCCCACTCAAATATCTGCTATTCAGCATTCCTAGGAATCTCAGTGTTGCTCACCCTTTCTTATAGTTACTCTCTTCAGATGCCTTATGCTTTCCCTCATAAAATGGGGGATTCGGAGCTTTCCCCATTGTCCTTAGACCCCTGGCAACATCATCCTGACCAATCATATCCAAAGATCTTCCCTTCTCCTTTTATTGAGAAGACAGAGGCCAACAAAATTCGAAAACCTCAACTTCTCACCAATTTATTTTTTTTAATATTTTATTTATCCATTCCAGAGAGAGAGAGAGAGAGAGAGAGCAGGGGGAGGGACAAGCAGACTGCGCTGAGCACGGAGCCTGACATAGGGCTCGATCTCAGGACCTTGACATCATGACCAGAGCCAAAACCAAGAGTCGGCCGCTTAACCAACCGAGCCATCATCCAGGCGCCCTTCAATTTCTCTTCAATTTAAAACATCACCAATTATAGGTATTCTGCCTCCATGTCATTCGTATCTATGCTCCCTGCCATTTAGTGAATTCTTAACTGGTCTCCTCTGCTCCTTTTATGCTCAATATATACTTCTGCATTTAAATTAATACATACTTCAGTTTCCCGTAACAGCCAAGAATTTTAAAAATGGTACATCATTTTTAAAATGTGATCAATGTGGTCAGGTCAGGGTTAAGACATGTCTGTTTAAAAGCTTTAGGCAGTAATAAATGCTTCTTTTCCTCTGGTATAGAGAATGAGCTCAGGTCAAAGGTCTATTCAAAGCTCTACAAAATTCAGTGAACTTTCTCTGATAAAATTCTAAAGAATTCTTTTGGCATTGTCTAGAGCTCCAGCCCGCTCACCCATGCGCTACAGGCTCACTGGGAAACAGAACAATCCCTACTTGTCCACAGTGAAGACAACACCGCCTAGGAGACCCCACAGGCAGACCCACGCTGCTGCGGAGGAAACGGGGTCCCACTGGTGGTGCATGCTGGTGACTCAATCCCTGTCCAAAGAGGAACAAATGTTAAAAAACTACTGAGCATGGAAGAGGAAACAGCAATTTTAACTAAGGAAACCAAGCTGAAGCATCAGAACAGCTGACACTCATTTAATGTGGGAAACAGGAGAGAACCGTAAAATACTCTACTACACGACTGCACTGAAGTCCTCTGGAAAAAATTTAACAAACCAAGATTTCTAAAACAAGTTCAATAAAGACAGTGAAAATAGAATGGATGTGGTAAAAACTAAGAACTCAGACATTAACTATAGAAATTATCACTACAACAAAGAGCAAAAGAAAAAGGAAGGGAAGTTTTGAGTGAAAAATAGAGACATGGAAGTTGGATCTAGGAGCTTCACGTGAGAATAACAAGAGTGTGGAAAAAACAGAAGGAAGAGATGGAGGGGAGCTTTTTGCACAGTCAAGATATTACTAATATGTGAAGAAGAAAGAAGAAACCTCCTTGGATACAGAAGAACTCAAAGTACAGTTCATTTACCTTCACTAAAAAACTCCCTGAGGAAGTACAGTAGGGTCTAGTCAAGTGAAAATTAAATCAGAATAAAGATCCAAAGACAAAAATACCCAAGGAAGTGAGAAGCCACGAAGCTAGCAGCAGTTACACAGGCAGATACAACTCCATAATGGTAACTTGGTGAGAGACTATAAACAACTCCCAGAAAGGAGTACTTGAATTTTTTTTTAAAAAAGGATACTATAAGAAAAAAACCTGGATCTTGAATTCCCAATTATTTCAATAAAACACAAGAAGAGAGGAAGGGGGCAATAAAGTGCAAGATCAAGTGCAATTTCATCCGTTTATTATCACTTCCAGTGAGAAATACAGGATTAAATATGGTATAAAATCTGTGATCAACTCAGGAAAACTGAGCCGACTCAATAGTAGAGACATCAATAAAAATGCAATGTAATTACAATCATAACCCCACTGGTATTTTGTGGAGGTTAATAAAGTCATTCAATAAAATTCACATGGAAGAAAGTAATGTGCAGAAGTAAAAACAGCCCAGAACTTTTTTAAAAGAATAAACGGGAAGAACTGCCCTACATGATGGCAAACCTTACTAATAAACCTACTTTATTTAAAATAGAAAAGTACTGTAAACAGATCAGCAGAGAAACATATCGAATTATCTACAATAAATACATAAAAAAGTAGGCAATAGTTGAAGTTGGAAAATGGATAACCCAATGTTAAAGAAAACTGAAAAATAATTACATCCGTACCTACCCCGGTAACTATAGTCATAATTTTTTAATTATGAGGCTATTTTAGAAATTCTTGCCTGATATGAGAAACTATAGGATGTACTAACATAAATACAAAAATACGTTTTGAACATATACATACAGAAAGACTCCAAATGTTAATACAGGCTTAATAACCTAAACACAGAGCTATACATTAGGTTAAGCCATATAAAATTGCCATTTTAGTCAGTCAAAAATGACCAAATATTGGCAATTTAGTACAACATAATAACAGGAATTCTGGAATGACAGTGGCGGCAGCCGGATTTCGATTTCCCTTAGTCCCCCCATAAGAACAGACAGAACAAGGACAACCAAGTCAAAACTCCTTGAGACACATGTCCACTAAAACTACGTGACAAGGTATCTCCGTGAACTCCAAAGTAGAAGAGATGGGGGGAAGTGAACTGTGCCAGACCCTGTGGTTATCAGCACTTGTGCAAGGGAAACACGGGGGATTAATAGGGTGTCTGATGGGCCCAAAGGGGCAAATTCCACAATCACTAATGACTATGCAATAGAAAGCTCACTGCTTCTCTTTGAGGACTTGAGTGAAACAGAAAGCGATTTGGGTACAAAGTCATGAGTGAGGTCAAGGGGTTGCAACAGGTTTGAAGGGGCTGAAGTGGCTTAGGCCTCCCAAACTCTTAAAACTATCAGCTAAAATCCCCTTTCCAGGACAAACCTGCTAGACTGAAATCCAACTGACCAGGAAAGTAGAGTAGAGGTAAAGAACAACAAGGTCCAGAAGTGGGAGGGGAACACACCAGAAGATCTCAAAAAAAGAGAACATGTGCTTTGGCAGTTCAGAAGAAGGAGCTCAAAGCTACAAACCCTAACACTTCTGAACTCTCTCTTTCCTTAAAGTTCATGAAAATAAATACGTTTAAAAATGAGCAAAAGGACTGTGCTAGAATCCAATACAGGGTTATTAAGCAGAGAAATAAGCAGAATAACCCTAGAGACAATGAAAGCCTGCCAGAAAGACATGCCCACTAAACAGAGAGGACTGCAGCCCAATTTTCAAAAAAGAAAAAACTAAAAGAAATTAAGAAAATCATAGAAAATATAAAAGAACAACATAAATTAGAATTAGAAAAACTCACAAATAAAGTGGTAGTACTCGAAAGATAATTTTCTTAATTGAAAATCATTTTAGGGGCACCTGGGTGGTTTAGTCAGTTAAGCATCTGACTCTTGGTTTTGGCTCAAGTCATGATCTCAGGTTCATGAGACGGAGCCCCACATCGGGTTCCTCACTCAGCAGGGAGTCTGCTTCTCTCCCTCTCCCCCTGCTCCCGTGCTCTCTCTCTCTCTAAAATAAATAAATAAATCTTTAAAAAATCATTTTAAGAACAAAAAGCAAACTAGCAGGAACATGAGCACAAATAGAACAGATAATGGCTTCACATAAATAGGAGGTAAAAATGAAGACAATTTTATAAATCAAAAAGAAAAAAGAATGAATGAATGAATCTGAAAGTGACAGAGAGGCAAAGTACATCCAAAACACATACAGTAGTGGTTCCCAGAGAAGAAAACCAAACTAATGAAACCGAAGAGTTAAAACATTAAGAAATTCACTTGAAATTAAAAAAAAAAAACATAGAAAGCAAACAAAACCTGAAATCATATACTAAAAGGACACCACGTATCCAAAAATACCAATGTGGAGAAACCAACACCAGGTAAACTAGTGGAGTTTAAAGAAAAAAGAAAAAAAAAAAAACAATCCTTTGGACATCCAGGTTATAAGTAAATAAATAACCAAGTTTCTACTTAGAAGTAGAAACAAAAAAATCATATTGCCATGAGACTTTGCAACCGCAATGCTGCATGCCAAAAGACAATGAGTAATATATATTAAAGTTACTCAAGGAAAGAAAATACAAGCCAAATTTTATGGCCAAATATACTTGCAAGAGTCAATTCTGCAAACTGTTAGGAAAATCCAAGAACTCAGAAAACACTGGTCTTATGAGCCCTTACCGAGGAATCTACTATGAACAAAATGACTCAGGAGGCTGTCAGAACAAGAGCCTGTCTAAATCTACATCTCTTATCTATCTACGTCTCTGTGTCCACCTGTGGAAACACACACACACTCCCGTAGGGCTAAAAGGAGGTGAGAAGGTAAGGAAGAAAGTGAGGTCCATAATGGCCATATGCAGATACACCGCAACTATCAAACCCCGGGAGAAAGCCGAGGGCATATGCAATATCGTAGCATTT